TGTAGCCCTGGCTGTCCTGGAACTCACTCTGTAGACCAGGTGGGCCTCGAACTCAGGAATCTGCCCACATCTGCTTCCCAAGTGCTGGGATTAAAGGCGTGCACCACCACTGTGGGCAGGCAGTATTATTAGTAGGGTTTTTTTTTTTTTGAGACAGTGTCTTTCTAGGTATTCCTGACTGCCCTGGAATTCACTATGTAGACTAGGCTGGCCTCAGACTTACAGTGATCTATCTGCCTTTGCCTTTCTAGTGTTGGGATTAAAGGGGTGTATCACTATACCCATCAATTTTGTGTTTTTAATTTGGTAGAAACCTGTTTCACTAACATATTATTCCAAACTCACCAAATATGTCAAGAGGTGTAGCCCACCAAAGCCAGTCTCATAGATTTGTGAGATTACCCTGTTGGACTTGATGACCTGCTGTTTATCATTGCACCGTTTGCTGGTGCAAGTAAGGGTGATGGCCTGTTTGCTGTTCTTTTAGAAGGGCTATCAGCTGTGGGGCCAGTTTGCAGGCAGCTTTTCACCACTTTGGTTTTGGAGAGGGCACTCACTCCTGGGTCTGTCATTCTGGCAGCCCCCTGCAGTTCATCTTCTAGAACAGAGCCTGTCTGATGTACTAAGTTAGCCTTTGTGCTACTTGACTGCTGGGAGTGCTGTGAGCTAATGAGGAGTCTGGTAATCAGATTTGGCCTTAGGTCAAATGTGAAGGTCAGGTTAAGTTTACCTAGGCTTTAAGAAATGGAGGTGTTCACCATTGTTTGGACACTTCACACCTTGATATTTAGCTGTTTTAAATAGCTTGTTAGGCTCCTTTACTTTACTTGAATCCCTTGCATTTTGAGTTTGTGGGGCAGCTGATGATTTTATTAGGTGTGCTGTCTTCTTGAGGGTGTCCTGGCAGGTGAAATCTGTAAGACTGGCTCTGTAGGCCGAGCCTCTTGGTGTATTTGGTGAGTTTGGATGGAAGAGTATGTTAATCTGGGCCTCTACCAGATTAAAAAACACATACATTGCTGGCTGTGATGGCTTCTACCAGATTTAAAACACAAATTGCTGGGTGTGGTGTACACCTTTAATCCCATCACTTGGTAGCAGAGGCAGGCAGATCTCTGAGTTTGAGGCCAGCCTGATCTACATAGTTCCAGGGTAGCTAGGGCTCCCTAGCGAGACTCTCTATCTCAATAAACAAGCAAACAACACAGAAATTGAGTCCCCTCACTTCCTAGTGCTCACCACTCTCCTGCAGCCAACTGTTGCAGGCTGTTTCTACCCAGGAAAAGAAATCCTACTGTGTGTCCTGTCTCCAGAACCCCGTCTTCTACCCGTTTGCTGGTGCAAGTAAGGGTGATGGCCTGTTTGCTGTCAGCATTGAGGACTCCATCTCCACAAGAATTCAACAGAAACCGTGGGAAGACCCTTACTCATTGTCCCAGGAGCTGCTGCTGTTCATGATAAAATAGTGAAGTCAGGCAAGAAGTTTGCCCACAGTGGCACTGTCAAGCATCCAGTATGTGGAGACCATCCAGCTACTTGGTGAACAGGCAGGACCGCAGGCCAGTTCCTGACAAGACTGGATTGGCCAAGGATGACTACTTCAAGTTCCTGGGTTTAAGTGCCTGTGGTTTTCTAAAGCTTAAGTGAGGATTTCCCTGCAAAAGTAGAATTTCCCTCTGTCCCTTGTTTAAAAATCCCACAGCTTGTACAGTGCTACCATTTATTTGAAGTGCTTTTAACATTGCCTTGTGAACTTCCTGATGCAATAATCTGAAGAGAGCCCCCTGCCTGCCACAGAAGCCCACAGAAAATGATGGGTAAAGTCTACTGTAGGTAGAAGAGGCCCAGCTAGAAACAGAAAATCCATCAGGATTTAATTTGTGTTTCTAAATTCCTTGTACTTGTTGGTTATTCTTTCATCTTTTAGTTTTAGATTTAGTCTAATTTTAAGAAGGAACAAATGAGGCATGGGGTTGTGGGGCCTACCCTTACACATTACTGGGGTTATGTGCTTCGGGGATGAGATGTTTTAGCTGTAGTTTAGTTTCTTCCTCCTACGAGGAAATTTCACAATAGTCTTTCCCTTGCCAAGTGAATTGCTAATAGTTGTCCCACTCCAAGAAATTTAAGAAATAGTGTTCTTTCAGCAATCTAACTCGTTGAAGTGTTTAAAGTGAGGTTGTGTGCATGGGGGATAGGGCTAAAAGATAATTTTCTTTGTAAGGTAACATGATAAGGACATTAACTGTTCTTATATCAATATTTTACTCAATTCATTAAATTAATGGGACATGAATAAAATGAAATGAATTTTTAAAGACTAGAATTTATTGTATAATGTAGGGTAATGATGAGTTGAATCTCATAGAACACAGTAAATTAAATTTTATGGACAAGATATGCTAACAGTTTCTACAGGTTGAGGTCAGCCTCCTCAGAGCTGTCAAATTGCACACATTCTTGTGGGATTGAGTTACACAGGCAGGTGCTACATTTCTATTGAAGAAATCTGTTCATCTTTGGCTTCAAAATCTTCAGTTTTTTTCTTGCATTGTTGCACATATCTGTCAAGTGAGCTAGTTGGTCGTAGAAGTGGTTGTCAAATTTGGCTTATTAAGATGTGTAGGTCCTCTTGGTATCACTTCTTGGTGGAAGGCAAGTGTGGGTCTTCTAGGCCATTGTTTCTCCACCTTCTTAATGCTGTGACCCTTTAACACAGTTCCTCATGTTGTAGTGACCTCCAACCATAAAATTATTTTTCACTGCTACTTCATAACTGTAACTTGTTACTGTTATGGACCATAATGTAAATATCTGATATATAGTACATCTGATTTGTGACCCCTATGACAGGGTCGTTTGACCCCCAAAGGGCTTGAGACCCACAGGCAGAGAACTGCTATTCTAGGCAGTGTTGAGTGTCAGCTGCTGCTCTGTTGTTGCTTTTGCTATAGCCTGAAGTAGGGTGTTCCAGGAAGCTCCATATTGGTTTTGATAGTTAGTGTCCCCTTTTGGTTTTTCTTTGTGGTCCTGTCATCTAGCCATAGGTATCTTCTCTTTCTTAGGATGGCAGGCTTAGTGTTGGAAGCTAGGGACATATTGCCGTGTGATGAAGTCACCCCGTAAGTAGGAGCAGTCATTTCATGCTGGTTTTCCTCCAGCAATAAGGATGTCTTTGAAACAGACATCTTAACCATCATAGTGATCAAACAGAGCAGAGTTTGACCAGCATTGCTTAATTATGTGTCTCTCTCTTCCTCCCTCCCTCCTAGCAAAAATCAAAGCTCACATCAGTGCCTTGGGGATGGCCAGAATGCTTGCTTTGTGTCTTCTTAGTATAGCTACATTGAGTAAAATGCTTTCACCACTATAATCTGCATTCTGGGGCGAGGCTGGACCTAAACATGTTAGTGCTCACAGAGACAGGGCTCCAGTCCAGATTTTTACTATGGAAATGCTCTGCACATGAAGACTTCCTAAGCATTCATTCTCTTCCCATGAAAAGTAGGACCCCTTGGTGTTAGCTGGATAGAAGGAAAATTTACTTCTGAAGTCACTTCCTATTCTATCTCTCTACCCTGTTCTTTTGCTGACTTGGGCAGAGTTCTGGATGGTAGGCTTGATGCATCCCTGAGCAATCTTGAGTTACAGTTGGGAAGATGGGTGTGAGAACAAAACTAGAAGGCCCGACTTGCCCTGCTTACCTAAGCTGTTCCCTCCCTCCCTTCCTCTCTTCTCTCTCTTTCTTCCTTTCTTTCCTCCCATAGATTGGCCAGGAATCTTTTCACTATTACTTGCAGGCCATTTCTGTGAGGGCAGCTTCAGTTACTGTGGGGTTGTCATGGTGTAAATTGAGCCACCAGTTACTCATTTGTCATGTACATGGGGGAATGGTGAATGGGGATGGTATTAGTGTCAGAAAGGAGAGAGAAGGACTCTGTCTGGGATAGCAGGATAAAGTACAGCTTTGAGGTTCAAGGTTACATGTCTGCAAAGTAGGCACAAGTACCTATCTTGCACCTGTGCTATGAACTGTTGTTCATGATTTCAGTGCTGGACCAAGGGAGTAAAACTACTGTAGTAATGAATTTTGCTTTTCCATTCCTCTTTTTGGCAGAATAACCAAGTGCTGGGAATTGGAAGTGGTTCTACAATTGTCCATGCTGTGCAACGAATAGGTATGTTCTCATTCTTAGACTGTACTAAGTGTTTCTTGTGTGTTCATGGGAGTAGGAGGTGGAAGAAGGGGCGGGAATGGGCACAGGTGTGGCGTTTGTCTTAGTTCCCATTCGGCCTGGTAGAGATGGGAAGAGCATGTTGTTCATCTGAGGTTAGTTGAGTGTTTCTGTTCTTAGGAAAGAGGAATTTTTGGTCCTCTATAGCTGATTTTGGGGAGGCGATGCCTGTGTTTATTGTGTATAGCTAGAGGGGAGAAATTGACTCAGGTGAGGCCCCAGCAGAATATGATGGTATACACTCATCAGGGTTTCTGTATTGGTCTCAGGTTTCCTCTGAAGCCTGTGTGTTTCCTAGACAAATTGAGGTCTCAGTGTCCTGTCTAGGACAAGGATGAGGCTCCTGCAGTTGGTGGCTGGTTTTTGTAGGTGTTGACTTCACTTTGATTGGGTCCTCTCTGTACTTAGGAAAGGCTCAGGCATTATCAGCTCTGGTGGCTGCTCAACAGGTTCGACAGCCCTGCTCTTTGTTGGTAAAACGAAGCCTGGGAGAGGCTTGCCCAAATGCCCATCTTTGGCAGGTGCCAAGGGTCAGAGCCTAGGAGGCAGAACCCAGGTTCCTGTTGTGATCAGGAAGTGGTTGCATTACAGGGACCTTGATTGAGAGATTTTTTGTCCAGTATTTACCTACTTTAACCCTGTGTATGGAGAATTTTTAGGTCACAGGAATTACTGTGGGTTCACAGGAGTAAACATCTAAACCTTCCAAGAGAAAGACTTGATTAAAAAGACGATATTTTTAAGAGGACAGCTTTTTAAGACTCATTAAAATTAAGATTTTCTAAAATTTTAAAATTTAAAATTAATATGTACCTCTCTCAACCTTTAGTCATCCTCTGGGGCCTATAGATCCTTATATTTCTTAATAAATGCAAAGTGAAGTTCTGATGTTTTCCTGGAAAGGCAATATAAGATTGTAGCTAAGATTGAGAGTCAGAAGGGCAGTGGTGGCTCAGCCCTTTAATCCCAGCACTGGGGGAGGCAGGTGGATCTGAGTTCAAGACCAGCCTGGTCTAAAGAGTTCTAAGACAGCTAGGGCCACATACAGAAACCCTGTCTTGAAACCCTGCGCCCCCCCTACCCTACCAAACCCCCCCCCCCAAAAAAAAAAAAAAAAGGGAAAAGGGAAGAAAGGCCACTAAGGACCACATTCCAGCCACTGGTTAGCTGTGTGACTACCAAGGTAACTGACCTCACAGTGACTCTGTTTCCTCATGTACAAAGAAGAGGTGTTAGTCATAACTTACCTCTTGGGCTATCTGCATTAAAAGTTGTATACAACTTAGCAAATTGCAGACACACAGCAGCAGTACCACTGAAACAGCTTTTCCTGTGGTCATTACTTGCCTCCCAGACCCTCTAGAGTCCACAGAGGCAGCTGTCATCAGTGGGAGATAGGGCTTTTCCCTTTGGTTGGATTTGAGAAATGCACGTGTGATAAGAAAATCAATCGTGGGGAATGGAACAATACCAGTGTGACTCTTGTCTCCACAGCTGAAAGGGTGAAGCAAGAGAATCTGGACCTCATCTGCATCCCCACATCTTTCCAGGTACATTACGTTCGTGTCCCTGTCCATGTCTTAGCTGTCAGGTCTTCTGGGTTCCTGAGCATGTGTACTCCAGCTTTGTGTTGTTATCCTGGATGGTTTCCTTGAGGGAGCCAGGCTCAGGGGAGGAGCTGACCAAGCATTGTTCTTTGGTATAATTTTTTTGAGACAGGATTTCACTATGTTGCCTTGGCTGACCTGATATGTAGACTCATCTTCCTTCCTCTGCCTCCTGAGTGCTGAGATTAAAAGCATATTCCTCCATGCCCAGCTGGGGGTGTAATTGTATTTTGTTTCATTTACTTTGATGTTTTCACATGAGTTAGGCATTATTCGTAGTATACAGAGACAGCTGCGTGGTCTTTAGCCTCAGGGACTATATCCTGTTAAGGGATGAAGGGAACTTTACAATCAGAATTTGTGAGGCGATACCAGTGTAAGTGTAGTTCACTCTTGGGTTATGCAGTAGCAAAGCTGGATGGAAAGAGCAGAGGAGCTGTGGAAAGAGAGTAAGTAGACTGAGAATCTCTGTTTTCATCTAACTTTATAAAATACTAGCCACCAGTGGCTGTCTCAGTGTGGGTTTTCCAGAGAAAGAACCAAGAGAAACAATTGCTTTACAAGTGGGTTTATAAGAAAAGTAGAGTATTGCCACAGTGGCTGTATACAGGTGGGAGAGCTGGAAACACTGAAGAAGCTGGAAGCCATAGTTTTATCTGTTCTTCTTTCTCCCCTACCTCTCCCCACCCCACTTGATCTTCCTGTTTCAGCCCCCCCCAAACCCTCACAATGCATTCATAACTACCCTATTACCCCTTCCTAGGGTGAACCAGTCCATCCCCAGTCTCTTACTCTATACTCTGTGGTTATACGGATTATAATCTTTTTAACAAAGACTTAACAGCTAACATTCATGCTGAGGACCAGCCTCGGCTTGGAGAGGGGTTCTGAGAGAAGGGGTGTTTGGGGCTAACAACTTGAAGTCAAATTGAGGGTTGAAGCTGTCGGCCTATGCTCTGCTCAAGACAGCTTTCTAGCCTGCTTTGTCTCTGTTCTGCTTTCTTTCTCTCTGATCTGCTTTCTCTGGAAATCTCCAGACAGCTCTTTCTATGTTCTGCTCAAGACAATTCTCCAAGCACTTTTCTTTTGCTATTCTAAAAGATTCTGGATAGCTCATCTCTAGCAGATCATAAGCCCAGTCTTTTATTTTACAGATCAATCCAATCTTTTACTCCAGGTTTCCTTTTGATTATCCTATGAATCAGCATCCCATGACTCCAGCCCTTTGATTCTTAGGAGAGAGCACACACATATTTTCTTTTAACATTGCAAAAGAATTTAGAGAATAATGCCTCTCTTATGCATAGACAATTAGCTAACTGGGTGGGGATCCTTCCTGAAATTAACCTTTTCTACCACACCTGAACCTAAATTAACTCTGTCTTAGGCTGATCTTGAACTCAGGAGTCTGTCTGCCCTTGTAAGCACAAACAAATTTAACTGGGTGGGATCTCCTGTGATCACCACTTCCTAGATTTCTTACCTCTTTTCCTAGTATCTTTCTGACAAAAAAAGCACACAGTTTAGCTGCTTTTGTTCCTTTAGATTCATGAAGCCCCTCATATAATTCATATTGCTTCTTTATTTTTTTGAGAAATTATACATTTTTGAACCCATATTTTTAGAGTTATTTTTCACAGCTTTAAGGGCTGTCCTGATGGCCCTAGCCTTTACCATTTTGTTAAGACATTAGCCACACCTTTGTCTCCCGGACTGCTGCTATCTCTGATTATCCTGGAGTCATCTTTAACAGGGAGGACTTTTCCTTAGAGGAGGAATGTAAAATATGTACATTATCATACAAGCAAGCCTTATGCCCAGGACAGCCTTGGACTCTGGCTCATGCCTGATGGCCCACTGGCTCTGTCCCAGGGGCTGGAACCATGTCATTCTGTCCACACCAACGTCACACCAGACTTGGGATATCCATATATAAATGAATGCAAACCATATTTGTCTTTTTGGGTCTGGGTTACCTCATTCAGGATGATTTTTTCCTATATTTTTATTTTTATGTTTTTACTTGTTTTGGGGTAGGGGGTCACGAGTTGGGAAAAACATCTGGGAAGGAATGTGATTGGGTGCATGTGAAACTCCCAAAGAATCAATAAAAGAAGAAAACAAAGAACAAAACATATGCCAGAAACAATATTAACATGATGATTTTTTTCTAGCTTCATTCATTTACCTGTGCATTTCATTTTTAACAGCTGAGTAATAATCCTTTCTGTTAAGTGTACCACATTTTCTTTACCCCTTTATCTGTTGGTCCTTTTACCCACTTCCTGTCTCTCACGAATAGAGTGGTAATGAACATGGTTGCACAAGTGTTCTGAGGTAGGATGAAGCATCCTCTGGGTATATGCCCATAAGTGGTATAGCCAGATCTTGAGGTAGATAATTACCATTTTTCTGAGGATCTGCTTCACAGATTTTCACAATGACTGTCAAGTTTGTACTCCCAACAGCAATGGAAGTGTGTTCCCTTCTTCCACATCCTCGGTGTGTCATTTGTGTTATTGAGCTTAGCCATTCTGACAGGTGTAAGGTAGAATCTCAGAGTTGTTTTGATTTGCCTTTCCCTGATGACTGAGGATGGTGGACATTTCTTTAAGAGCTTCTCAGCCATTTGTGGTCCCTCTTTTGAGAATTCTCTGTTTTAGATCTGTACCCCATTTTAAAATTGGGTATTTGTTTTCTTGATGTCCAGGTTTTTTATTTTTTTAAAGTGTATTTTAGATGTTAGTCCTTTATTGGGTGTGTAGTTGCTAAAAGTCTTATCCTGTTCTGCAGGCTTCTGCTTTGAATGATGGTATCTTTTGACAGACAGAAGCTTTTTAGTTTCATGAGGTCTCATTCATTAATTGTTGATCTTAGTGCCTGTGCTAATTGTATTCTGTTCAGAAAGTCTCTTGCCGTGCCATTGAGTTCAAAACTATTTTCCACTTTCTCCTCTATCAGAGTCAGTGTGTCTGGCCTTAAATTGAGGTCTTTGACTCATCTGGAAGTTGAATTTTGTACAGGGTGATAAATATGGATCTATTTGGATTCTCCTACATGGAGCCATCCAGTTTGACCAGCGCCATTTGTTGAAGATGCTGTCTTTTTTACCCAGTGTATATTTCTGGTCCCTTCATCAAAAATCAGGTGTCCATAGGTGTGTGGAATTATGTTTGGGTCTTTAATCAAATCCTGTCAATCAACATGTCTTTTTATGCCAAAACTACACTGTTTTTATTACTGTAGCTCTGTAGTTCATGTTTTTATTACTATAACTCTGTAGTTCAGCTTGAGAACAGAGATGGTGATACTGATAGCCTCAGCAGTCCTTTTAGCTAGCCTGGGTTTTTTGTTTCCATATGAAGCTGAAAATTACCCCTTTAAGATCTGTGAAGAATTGGGTTGGAGTTTTGATCCTAATTGTAGTGAATCTCTAGATTGCCTTAGGTAGGATGTCTAAAAGCATTTTTATTATGTTAATCCTACAAATTTACGAGCTTCTGATATTTTCTTCCCATTTCTTTATTCAGTGACTTATTTTTTAGTCATATAAGCCTTTCACTTGCTTGATTAGAGTTACCCTAAGATTTTATATTTTTTGTGTCTATTATGAAAGGTGCTGCTTCTCTGATTTATTTCCCAGTCTGTTTCTCATTTGTATATGGGATACTAATTTGTATATATGGCTACTGATTATGTATATATTGATTTTGTATCTTGCTACTTTGCTGAAAGTGTTTATCAGCTGTAGGTGTTTCCTGGTGGAATTTTCACAGGTAACTTATATATACTGTCATCCTCTGCAAATAAAGATAAGTTGACTTCTCTAACAATTTGTATTCCTTTAATCTCCCTCAGATGTCTTATTGCTCTAGGACTTCAAGTACTATATTGAATAGATGTGGAGGGAGGGGACAACCTTGTCTTGTTTCTGATTTTAGTGGAATTGCTTTCAGTTTCTCTCCATTTAAGTTGATGCTGGCTTTGGGTTTGTTGTCTTCATTATGTTGAGGTATGTCCTTTGTATCCCTAGTCTCTCAGGACTTTTAACAGGAAGGGGATTTATATATCTCCTTTAAGGTCCCTCATCATATTCATAACAGCCATTTTGAAGTCCTTGTCTTGTGCTTCATTCATATTGCTTTTCTCAGGACTTACTGTAGTAGAGTAGCTGGGCTCTGGAGAGACTGTCCTGGCTGTTACTGTGTTTTTACTCTGGTACTTAGGGATCTGGTTTTGGGATGACTGAAATTCTAGGTGTTGATATCTTGTCTTTGTTGATAAGTTTTTTGTTCCTTAGTTCCTGCTGCCATCTCTGGATCTTAAGAGTGTGTGGTGGCTGTGGGTGGTTTGTCTGATAGAAAGAGCTTTTGTGTTTCTGCCAGGTGTAGTTATGGTGATGGTGGGGAATCCCAGGTAGAACTTGTTTTTAGGTATTGGGAGCTGACATGCAGGAATGGGGAGGGGGTAGTATAGAGGGCAAAAAGTCCTCTACATAAGATAAGCACCAGAGAAGCCAGGAAAAGTCAAACATACAGGCTTGTCTCTTCAAAGGAAGAAGATCCTTACCTGTTCTTCAGGAATGCTGGGCAAGAATGTACTTTACATTCCTAGTTATCTTATGGCTAGGCCAATCCTGACACCCACAGGCACTATGCTTATCTCAGCCATTGTCTGTAGACCCTAAATCTTGGGCACTATCTCTACTCAACAGTACCGAATTTTATGAAAGAAGCTGGGTGTACCTTAAGGAATTTTAGGGTAAACAAGTCTTGCATTCTGTTATACTCATGAGACTGAGTTAATGGTTATCAGAACCTCTCCCCTCCCCAAAAAATTGTGCTTGCTTAAATATGGCTAAAATACATGGTCTGGTGTCAGACTATGGAAATTTGAATCAGTGATGGCCAACTAAGTTGAGCTGAACAGAGTTTCATTCTTTTTTTTAGAGATTTATTTTAGAATACACTGTCTTCAGACACACCAGAAGAGGGCATCAGATCCCATTACAGATGGTTGTGAGCCACCATGTGGTTGCTGGGAATTGAACTCAGGACCTTTGGAAGAGCACTCGGTGCTCTTAACCACTGGACCATCTCTCCAGCCCTATTGTTTCTTTCTTTCTTTTTTTTTTTTTTTTTTTTTTGGTTTTTCGAGACAGGGTTTCTCTGTGTAGCCCTGGCTCTCCTGGAACTCACTCTATAGACCAGGCTGGCCTCGAACTGAGAAATCTGCCTGCCTCTGCCTCCCAAGTACTGGGATTAAAGGCGTGCACCACCACCGCCCAGCTCTATTGTTTCATTCTTATCTTTCCCTGATGGTTTTCCTGCTGGCCATAACGCCTGCAGGCCTCTGCTTCCCTGGATATAAGAGGGCCCACAGGAGGGAGGAAAACACTGTCTGCCATGAGGATCTGGCACATGTTTTCTGGGAGAGTGTTTTGGGTGTCAGTGGGTGAGGGAGAGGTCTGAGGCAAAGAAGGAAGCTATGGGGAGGATCTGCTTAGTTCCCTGGGAGTTCACTTTTCTATTCTTGAAGGTCCTGCACCCACCTCATGGATCTCCTGCCCTGCCCATGCTGGGATCTAACCTGCGGCCTTTGATGTACTAGGAAAATGCTGTACCACTGAGCTCCATTCTCAGTCCTTGGTCTTTTGAGACAGGGCATTTGTGAGTGTGTGTGTGTGTGTGTTTTTCGAGACAGGGTTTCTCTGTGTAGTCCTGGCTGTCCTGGAACTCACTCTGTAGACCAGGCTGCCCTTGAACTCAGAAATCCGCCTCCCTCTGCCGCCCAAGTGCTGGGATTAAAGGTGTGTGCCATCACCGCCTGGCGGCATTATTGTTATAACTCAGGCTAAGTCTGAATTGGCTGTGTATCTCAGCCTCCCAAATGTATTCTTAGAAGTTTTAGGAGCACTCTGGTATTGTTTCCCAAGTCGGAGAGGGGCAGCTCTTACCTCTGGAACTGGTTCCCCTGTGCTGCATGGTTCCAGCTCCTGCAATGAAGAAGCAGTCATTGTTGCTGTTTGTGGGGCTAGATCTCCCATGTCACAAGAATTCTGCAGCCCTTTGCCACATTTCAGTATAAATGACTGTTTGTCTTTTTCTGTCCTCCCTAGGCCAGGCAGCTTATCTTGCAGTATGGCTTAACCCTCAGTGACCTGGATCAACACCCAGAGGTGGGTGAGTGAGTGAGTGGGGTGTGTGTGTGTGTGTGTGTGTGAATGAGAGAGAGAGAGAGAGAGAGAGAGAGAGAGAGAGAGAGAGAGAGAGAGATATTGAGAGATTGACTGTCTTTTTCTCCTTTTTTTGATGACTTCTAGTTGTTCATGGGCTCCAGCTATCTTAGTAGGACCAGACATTAGCCAATTATATTCACTTTTGTTCTGGGGCCTTGAGTGTTAATTCTGACCAAACTTACAAGCAAAGAAGTGGCAGTGTAGGCATAGTACAGGTTTAGCTTCCCAAAGATTTAACCTTCAGGGCTCAGTACAGGTATAGTAAAGGGAATGGACAGTTCCAGAGTTGGTCTGTGGTTTCCTGAAATTCCCTTCTCATAAGTGAGCCAGCCTGCAGAACTCATACCTAAGCTAAGGAAAAAGTCATATCTTAGGCAGTTGTGGCTACTTGAAAGCTAATTAAAGCTAATATTTGCGGAAAATTCAAGGATATTCCAGTAGAGTCTGAAGCTGTGGAGAGTGAGCAGCACCCCTTGTCACCCCAGGAACACCTGAGCTGTCATTAGGTGTGGGGCTAAGTTTAATCTTGACAGTGAGTATTGTAACTATCACAGTGGATAGATATGGAAAGGGTATGTCAGTTGCTTAAGCGCAGAAGCAGAATTATAACTTGTGTCCTTAAGGCTCTAGAGCAGTGTTTCAGTAAGAGGCTAGGTTTGTGGTTAGCTGCCCAGGCTCCGTGGCAGGGCCAACAGAGGATCTTTGGAGGGGAAAATAGTAGCTATGGGTATGTGGGCATACATGGGTGCTGCCCAGACTTTCTGGAGTAATTAGGCATACTGGAATAAGCATGGAGTGAGGATTTGACAGGGTCTAGCAGTTCATGCCATGAGTACATGGTGAAACACTGGGAAGAACCTCCTGGGGGAGTTCTGTGGGCACAAATAGTTTCTAGTTCAAGAGTGCATTGACTGTTTGTCATCTTTGGAGATTCTTCATTTACTCTTGTTAATTTGAAATTACCTATATCTGCCCACATTAGTCCTGATTTGGAATTAGACAGATTTTACTCTGTTCTTTCATTATTGAACTTTGCTCTCCCCTGGGAATTGAATGCTCCAGTCCTGCTGTTTATTTGTTTATGGTCCTTTGGACAGCCCCTAACTGCGGTGTCTTAAATGGAGAGTAAAGGAAGCAAATGTAGTAGTTAAGAACTGGACACTGCATTAGGCCCTCTGCTTCCTTTCCTTGTGTCTCCAGCAAAGCGCCTTACTTTCTTGGGGCCCTAGTCTCTTGGTCAGTTGAATGGAAATACTGGGCCTGCCTAATGGAGCTGCTGAGAACCTGATGAGCTATCACCGCTTGGTCAGGGGTCGCACAGTGTCTCCGCTCATGAGGCTTTTCCCTCCCTCCCTCTCTCCCTCTCTCCCTGCCTCCCTCCCTCCCCAGATTGACCTTGCCATCGATGGTGCTGATGAAGTGGATGCTGAGCTCAATCTCATCAAGGGTGGCGGGTGAGTGTGTGGGGACTTGGTTGCTAAAGAGACTGTCAGCTAACCCTTAGCAAAGTGAAATGGAGTACAGAGTAAACAGTTGTTCTGATACACATGAGTTTTTCTTCTGTCAGCACCCTGATACCATATGCCGTTGAGCCACCCTAGCATTTCTGATCATTAGTGCCCACCTGCTGACAGGTAACCTGGGCCTGTGAGATGGTTTGTCTTGCTGTTCTGTGTACACACACACACACATAGCACATTCTTGGCTTAGACTGTTAGGTCTGTGCCTTTTGTGTTAAAGCTGTGAAGTCTCTAATCACTTGGGGGGGTGCTCTTCCTTTATTTGGAAACATTTATTAGAATGACACAGCGTTCATTTTATTTTTTTAAACTGTATTACATAATCCTTGTTGCAGGTGTGAGGTGATTTATCTAGGGAGAGTACCCATAGGCCAGGTTATTCAGTATCCCTGGCCTTGTGCTGTCACATAGTCCACAGAGCAGGTGCTCCAAACTGGTTGTCTATTCAGGACATGTCGAGTTATCTCCCTAACACAGTGCTTCCTTGATGCCTGTTGGAGGGGAAGTGCTTGGCCTGAATAGAACCATTGTTTACTTTCTAGGTTTCTACCAGACACAGGCAAATGTTTCTAGAAAGTAGCATTATAGGATTGAGGATGGCTCTTTAAAAATGGAAGCCAAATTTCTCTTTAAGTGTCAGGATTGAACACATTTGGGACTCCCAGGTCTGATCCTACTTCCCAAATGAGGATGATCTCTCTCTAATCTCTACGTCCTTCTTTCCTGTCAGAGGCTGCCTGACCCAGGAGAAGATCGTGGCTGGTTATGCCAGTCGCTTCATTGTGATTGCTGATTTCAGGTACTGTTCCAGGGTTCTGCTCTTCAGCTGAGAATGTGTATGGGTTTCCAAGTTTTGTCCCCAAGTAAGAGGAGGAAGCCTGTGCAGGAATGTAGGAAGGATTACCTCCTCTCTAGGATTCCAGGCAGTGACTCCTGCTGATTACCACAGCACCACAGCACTCTTGCATGGAGCTGGCTCTTCATGTTTGGGGATGGGGAGGCAGCAGTGTCCAGGCCGAGCTCCTGCATGTGTTACTCATTAGGTTCCTGCAGGGAACCTCAGGAAGCAGCCAAGCCCTGTCCACAGGTGGTGACTCAGCACATCCTGCTTCCTCTGGGGTCAGGCTTTTCTACACGTGACTGTGTTATGCTCAGTCTTTGACCAGGATGATTTTCTTTCAAGGAGCCTGAGAGAGGAGGCACTTTCTGAGCATGTTAGAAGAGATATCTGCATTTGTCTTACTCAGGAGATACCATAAGTACAAGGGCAACCTAGGTTAGCCAGCAAACCATCAGAGCAGATTTTTATCATTTTTGCCTTCTTAAGTGTAAAGCAGCCCATATTTCTGAAGCTCCCCTGTACTGTCCTGATCTCTTTCCCCTCCAGCTGTCTAGTTAGCCCCTAGCCTGAATTTGGTTTTGTATATTGAACTTACTTGTTTTTTTCCAGGAAAGATTCAAAGAACCTTGGGGATCGGTGGCACAAGGGAATTCCTATTGAAGTCATCCCAATGGCCTATGTCCCAGTGAGCCGAGCTGTGACCCAGAAGTTTGGGGGTGAGGTAGAACTTCGAATGGCAGTCAACAAGGCAGTAAGTGGCCAAGGAGGTTTCCGAGCACCTGACCCAGTCTATTGCTTTTCTGTGTCAGGCCCTGAGGCCTTCGGGGTGTGTGTGTGTGTGTGTGTGTGTATGTGTGTGTGTGTGTGTGTGTGTGTGTGTGTGTGTCTTGTGCCCAACCCCTAGTCTCCTCCATAGAAGGAGGCATGGTTCTTTCTTGACATCCCTCAGGGATACTTGAGGTCTGTACTGCTCAGTACAGCCTCTAAACAGCCTCTAAACACCGTCTTTTGGGAAGCTCTAGATGATGTCTTTATAAAAAGAGAAAGAGAGAGTATGTTCTGTGGAGGTGTGTGTGGTGAGGTATGAGGGAAGGGGATGTCTCAGCAGGCCCATACTGAGGTGTCTCTTCCCCCTGAGGGACCAGTGTTGAGGAAACGTTCTGTCCCCTCACCTATCTGACCTCTGTCAGTCTGCCCATCCTTTTAATGAGACGTGCTGATGGAGAAGGCATTGTGGAAGTCATGCACCCTTATGTTACCTTACTGCTGGGGCTCATGCTAAGCTTTGATGTAGTGATATTGGCGGGCAGTTCTCTTGGTTTTCACTCTGCTAAGTTGAAAACATCACTGCCTTGACCCGTTGCTGTTTGCGTCTCTGTCCCCCTTTTTGCCACTCAAGAAGCAAGTTTCAGAGCAGTCAGTGGCTCCTCTTAACTGTGTACCTGTGTGGCATTAAGACGTCGTCCAGGTTTGTAGGACTCCAGAGGGCCTGTTCACCACTGCTCTATGGAACCACCTTCTAGGAAGCATGGAGTGGGGGACATCTTTCTTTTGCCTACCTGTGTTTTCATCCTTGGTCATTGGAAAATTGTCTTCTAGGGGCCTGTGGTGACAGATAATGGGAATTTTATCCTGGACTGGAAGTTTGACCGGGTACATAAATGGAGTGAAGTGAACACAGCTATCAAAATGACTCCAGGTAAGCTGGGTGGAGTTCACTGGACAGTCACCCAGTGACTTCCCTTCATAACCACCCCCTCTTCAGGCCACAGAAGGCAGCATAATAGTGCTTAGTTTATACCATGTCTGAGGTTTGGTTTGTGTAATAGTACTGATATGTATTTATTTTATAGTCTGTTTGAATTGGGATAGCCTTGGAGCTGATGGAAGGTCAGAGGTGCTTGCTTTGAAATAAGGTCACCATCCCTGGGAGATACCCCCTCCCCTTTCCAGGAGCCTGATGCAGCCTCTTCGACCTTTGTGGGGGAAGTGACTCAGTTCATCTACCTTCACTGGTTACATATCATAGGCTATGCTTGTACTACATGGAATTGGTCCTAGATTAGAACTGGTGGAAACCTGGGGAAGGCTGTGTGAAGCCGTGCCTGCAGATACTGAAGGTGCTGCTTCTGCTGGAGAAATAGCAAAAGTCTAATTCACAGAGGTCACTTCGTTAGGTGTGGGGCAGTTTCATAGATGTGGTGTTGATCTGTGCACTGTCATCACATCTTCTAGACAGTGTATAACATTCTAAAGTTTTATTAAATTCCCACTTGGATGAGGTAGTTAACAGGGGACCACACAGGCCAAGAGCTAAGCTAAGTGGTTTGCCAACAACTACAGCATCAAGGTGTGAGCCCTAGGTTTTCTGCCTCTTGACACTGAAGTTTTAAGATTTGTGTTATTTTTAATTATGTGAGTATGTACTTTTAACTGCAGGCACCCATAGAGACCAGAAGGGGGCATCTGATCTCCTGGAGCTAGAGTTCAGCTAGCTGTGGGTCTTCTGTCATGGGTGCGCAGAATTGAACGTGGGTTTCTACAAGATCAGTATGCTCACTTAAGCACTGAGCTATCTCTCCAGCTCTAAGACCCTGACTTGAATGCTCACTCGCTCAGGTGAGGCTGTATGATGTAAGCATAGACTTTATGCCAAGGGATAATCAGGTAGGAGTTGAGGCCCTGCCTACCCGGGGGAAGGTTGGGTGAGCTGGATAGAGATGAATTGGCATTCAGGCTTAAGTCTGGCAGGTCAGAGCTCGTAGGAGGGTATTTGCAGGAGGAGGTGATTTGAAAGGCCTCATTCTCACAGTGCTGAGGGGCAGTCTAAATTGTACCTGGGTAGTGCCTGAGCAAATGCTGGGAGCAGACTGCCTGGATGAGCTTCTAACCCAGCCATGCTCTAGCAGAATGAACTTGGATCCCCTAGCTGATAGCTGTGTGCCTCAGTTTCTCCTTTTTAAAAAGGGCCAAAACTAGTCCCTACCTTGTGGGGTCATTGTAAAGATTAATTAGCTCACCTCTTAAAACAGTGCTGGGAGATTAAAGTCCCTAGGAGAAAGGATGCACTGCTGTCACCATTAAGCAAGCACTAGACTGTGCCCACACAGGGACACATCCCTGTAATCCTGGAACTTTGGCGGTAGAGGCAGGATGATCCGAGGTCAAAGACTTCCCTGGCTGCATAATGAAGGCCAACCTGGGCTACATGAAACCTCACCTCAGTGCCCACTGACCCCTCCCCCCCACCTATTTTATTGAGACAAGGTTTCTCTGTGCCCTGGCTGTCCTGGAACTCACTCTGTAAAGCAGGCTGGCCTTGAACACAGAGATTGCCTGCTTCTGCCTCCTGATCGCTGGGATTAAAGGTGTGTTTGCTCCACCACACTTTTTTTCCACACACTGCCTGTTTTGTTTTTTTTTTCTTTTTTTTCCTAGATTGTAAGTTATTTGTGCCAGTTGGGAATGAGAATAGTTTGAATATATGCTGTGTAATAAGGCAGCTACTTCTTCCAAGTCTAGCCTCTGACCGTCTTTAGTCTTCTGACAATCTTTCATTCATTAAGTGAAACAGATGAATTACTCCCTTGCTTAGTGTTGCCTCTCTAACTGAAAGGCCAAGAAGGCATGAGGATGATGACATGGAGGCCATGCTTAGCAGGCAGAGTGCACTTGCCTTGTTAATGCAGACTGACCCAGGGTGGAGTGGGAAGGCCAGTTCCTGATGTGCCCACTAGGGGGCTCTCTTGCTCTTCCTGGGGCCTGCCTTGCCTTTTCCTAAGCATGAGGAATCTGTGTACTTGTGACTTCAGAGTTACAGCGTGGAGTGAGGAAGGTGGACTGTTACCACAGGTCCACCCTTGGTTTGTCTTTGGCTCTCCTTTTCTCTTACTTTTTGCCTATTAGATTAGACAAACTCCAGGGCAAGGGATGGGCAAGCTTTCCTGTTTCTTCCCAGGTTCATTTACACGAGGGGAACACTCAGGAAAGAGTCCCTATCCATGTTTCACTGGGTCTTGCCTCTGCTCACATTCACAATGCTCTTCACGTTCCTCTGGATTTTATTTGGGGTGAGGGGATCAGTCACTCCTGGCACCTCATTAATCTGAGGCTCCAGAATCATGCCTTAGACAGCTACCCTGCTATTTCCTTATAGCATTCGAAGTGTGTTTGACTTTCTCTGGGGCCAGTTTGAAGCTTCTAGGCTGTGCTACAAAAGCGTTGATCAGAGTGAGTATTGAGTACTGCTTTGTCCATCCTCAGAAAACTCCAGCTGTGCAGGCAGTTGTGCAAGGGCCTTCATACTTCAGTGACTCAACCTCCATTTGGCTTGTGCATTGAGGGCTGTCCACAGATATTTTAATTTATCCTTAGTTCCTTTATACCTTGTTTAATATTATGGGTAAATAGTGCCCCCCCCCACCCCAACCCCTGCATTCCCCATTAGGCAACTAGTTACCCTGTCTGGAGATAGCTAGTGTTACTAAAGGAATTGTATGGCCTTTTCTGAGATGATCTTCCACAAAAACATAAGTCAAAACTCCCCTGCCTTATTCCTTACTCCAGTAACAGCATATCATGCGTAGGTGTATTCCGTCCTCTCTCTTCTTAGCTTATTACATATTGACTCCCAAGAGATAAGATTACCTTTTTTTTAATGTACATTGGTATTTTTGCCTGCATGCATATCTGTGTAATGGTGTCAGATCTTGGAGTTATGGACAGTTGTGAGCTGCCATGTCTGTGCTGGGATTTGAACCTGGCTCCTCTGGAGGAATAGTCAGTTCCCTCAACTGGTGAGCCATCTCTCCAGCCCCTGACCTTAGTTTAAAAAAAAAAAATGTTGAGGGCTGGAGAGACGGCTCAGCGGATAAGAGCACTGACTGCTCTTCCAGAGGTCCTGAGTTCAATTCCAAGTAACTATGTGGTGGTTACAACCATCTGTAATGGAATCTGATACCTTCTTCTGGTGTGTCTGAAGACAGCTACAGTGTACTTATGTACATAAAATAAACAAGTCTTTAAAAAAAATAACGGTGTTATTCCAATTTTGTGGCTGTGTAACACAATTTACTTAACCAGATCCCTGTTAGTGGTCATTTGCGTTTCTCATCCTGTGCTAGTATGGAAGTACCAGATCAAAAGATTAGTCTCATTTACAAGATGATATTAAATTGCTCCCCACATAAGAGTGCCAGTTTACCAGTCCCGAGCACCAGTGCAGGTCCCAGTTTCCCTCCACACTAGGTTCACTCCCATTTTCTTTGATAGTTGGCCAGCGTTAACTCACTGTAATGTATGTGTATGTGTGAACATCTTCAGTGAAGGCGTATATAGTTAGTTAATTCTCATTGCTAGTATGTGTGCGCAAACAGTATGGTGATATGTTCATGCTACTGTGTGCGGGTGTGTGTGCGCGAGTCATGCAAGTGCGTGTATGTACACCCATGTATGTTATATGCAAAAACCAGCTGTGTGCTGTCTTCTCTGAGTCAGACTCTTTGATTGAACCAGGAGCTGGACGATGGCCAGCAGGCTTCAGGAGTATTCCTGTCTGTGCCTCCACATTCTGGTCACCTGCTGCTACTCATCCTGGTGATTGAGTAGTCTTTCATGCCTGTCACTAGTGAACTTGAATGCTTTTTGAGTTTGCTTCTTTTAAGAAGTGCTTGTTTAGGTCTTTACTCTTTTCCTGTTGGGTTGTCATAGTGGCTTGAGGAACTGTATTCTGGTGTGACTCCTTTGTCAGGTGTATGCTTTGTGAATCTCTCCTACTCTGAGGAAGACTCAACGATGGCAGTTGATTGAACATAACTGGGAGGAGTGATATCTACATGGCCTAGTCTTAGAGGTCTCTATAGCAGGCACGTGGGAGGATGAGGAGCTGCCAACCTTGACACTGAGGAGGATGAGCAGCAGGCAAGGGGACAGCCTGCCTGTACAGAGGGTCTGTGCTGGGATGAAGCTGGCACATTTGGTTACATAGAGCAAGACATTATGTAGTGGAAGGAAGAGGTGCCAGGAAGGAACAAAGATAATCCCGGTTTCTTTCAGTTTGTATTTTGTCTGATGCTAGCTTGTATTGTTTGCTCTCAGGGACACTTGATGCTTGCCTTGTCTTGGGAAGCTGGAAGCTGGACATTAATGTACCTATTCTTCATTTTGCAGGCGTGGTGGACACAGGCCTTTTCATCAACATGGCAGAGAGAGTCTACTTTGGGATGCAGGATGGCTCAGTGAATGTGAGGGAGAAGCCCTTCTAACCCTGAGAGGAGCAGGGTGCTCACCTTGAGTCTCCAGCCCAGGCACAGTGGACATGCCTCACCAGGAGCCTTTGCCTTAATGTACCTTCATGTAGCTGTCCACAGTGCCAGAGTGGACGGCTGGCCGTGGTGGGTGGGGTAGTTAAATCCAGTCTTATGAAGTATTGCTATGTGTCTTTTTAAAAAGAAATTTAAATATATATATTTTTACTATTAAAATATTCAGTTTTTTTATAAAATAGAACTTGATTTTATGTTTTATATGAAACATTTACCAAAAGCAAAAAAAATGTATAAATAAAAATAAGAGATCAGGACTGTCTCTGAAAGCTTTGACTGGACCTGCTGGTTAACCTTCTGAAGTTTTGGGCTTGCTGAGAAATAACATTTTTCTAAGCTGATGCAGTGAGGAGCCAGCCAGCCAGCAGGTCTCCTGATGCCTTATGGGAAACCTTGTTTACTGTTTACTTTCTTGCCACACTCTTCTGTTTGAGGTTGTTTTCATTGTTACCACTCCCAAATCCCAGTTACATTTTAAGATCAGGTCTAGGGAATTGTGAGTGTAGCAGTGGGGTCTGTAGTGACTTGGGTATAAACTCCCTGGTGAGAATGCACCTTCTGTCGGATCCTGGCTTTGCTTTGGTCCTGCTGTTGGAAGCCCCTGGTGGAAGCGCCTGCTGGCAGCGCACAACATTGTCTGAAATGTGAAGCACTTTTTGTTGTTTGAATGATTTTCTTTATGTTAATATTGTTTTGTTTCTCCAATAACCCTTGTATGATTTGGTATCAGAAGCTGTCACTTCTTTGTGCTGTTTGAAGGTTGAAATAAACATTACTGTGCCATTTTGATCCTTTGTCTTTACTACAGAATTTGCATGATGGGAATCAATTTTTCTCAGCTAGTTTATATCAGACAAGTGGGATCCACTCGGGAATCTGAGACAGACCAGGTAAATGCTTCTGTTGTTTCTGACAGATTATCATCTCCTTTATTGAAACAAGGACAGCGTGTTCTAGAGACCTTTGCTGTGGTGTTAGTTTTCTCTGTCTGAGTGAGGGCAGTATAGCTGAGCACAGGCCTGTTCACTCCCAGCGGCTCTATTGGGTTGTATGGGAGTTGATGAGCATTAAAAGAGACTGGAATTTTCTTGTTTCCCTTAGTCTCGAGTTTAGATAAACTGCCTAGTAAACATCAGAGTGCCTAGAAAAAGCTTCATAGAGGAGGGCAGGCCATGACCAGCTCAGTGATGGTTGACAAGGGCCTCACAAGTCCATTGTGTTACACATCCTGTGCAGTGAGCCCTGGTTCCTCCCATGCTAACTCTGCATGGTATTTAGCAGTCAGCTCTTCAGTTTACCTTCTGCTTTGAAGTTTGAACTCTGTGATGTGTTGGTGTGCAGATTCTTGCTGAATCAAGTCTCAGAATAAAAGCTAACCAGGACTAGTCCTAGACTGAGTCCCAGCATGCTGGTTTACTAGTAAAAGCTTCTTGCTGATTGCATCATGTGCCGACTTGTGTGTTCTTTTGGAGTGAACACCGTTCCTTGGGACTTGAGCAGGGACCCAGCCTTTTCTGGACCTAACAGACTGAGCCTTAAATGGACATTTTCCAGCCCAGTGTGGTGTTGCATGCCTTTATTCACAGCAGGGGCAGGTAGATCTATTCTAGGCTAGCCTGGTCTACAGAGTGAGTTCTAGGTTAGCCAGGGCTATACATGGAAACCCTGTCTAGAAGAGAAGCAAGCAAAGAAAGGCATTTTTCCTACTTACTTAATTCTGTTTTTTACTCTGAAAGTAATCTCTAAAAATAGTTGCCTTACGACGTAGGCTGTTGGTATTAGGAGTGCATTATTTTTAATTGGTTCATCAGTAACTTTTGTGCAGAATGAGATAAGAAATTTGATAAAGTAAGTTTTCAAAACCAGCAAGTGTGGTGTGGATAAAGATAAACAATTTCAGAAACACCTGTTTGCTCCAGTTCACAGATACATTTCCTGTTGGTTTCACAGGCTTTGACACCTGTGACCAAACTAGGGCATTTGAATGTTAATTAAGTTTTTCTTCTTCTGATAGAGAAAAACAAAACACCTGGTAGGCACCAAAGGGCAGCCTAGAGGTAAATTTTGATGAAAGATTGAATTAAAGTGAAAGATTTCCCACTGGATTACTAATTGTGACCTTTTAAGGGATAAGTGAGCTAAGCCAGTTTCTGTTAGTATTTGCTTTACTTTGGGCATGTAGAACGAGTTGGAGTTTGGCTTAAAAATACTTTTTAAGCTATATTTATATATCTAGGTGTAGTGGCACACACCACAGCACTGGGAGGCAGAGGCAGGCAGATCTCTGAGTTTTTGAGTCCAGCCTGGTCTAAATAGTGAGTTTCAGGAGAACCAGAGCTACATAAACCCTGTCAAAAAAACAAAACAAAATGAAAGTTGTATTTGTGTTTTTGTGTAGGAGTATGTACACATGAATGTCTGCAGAAGTGAAAAAAGGGTATTGGAACCTGGCCTGGAGTTACAGGTAGTTGTGAGCTGTGTGGTATGGTATTGGAACCAAACTTGGGCCCTCTGTAAGAACAGAGCCATCTTAGATTAACTCCTGAGCCATCTCCTAAGGCCTTGAGTCTGGCTTTTGGGGAAGGTTTGTAGTCATGGCAGGATGCCATGGGGAGAATCATGGGGACTTGGGTAGACCTGACTCGGGGTTGGCAGAGCTCACAGTGAGGAAGGAAAGTTGTCCTGTTGCCAGGCACTGCCATGGAGCATTGCCACCATCCCGTAGCTCCTTTTTGTCTTTTTGTGTGCCTTAACTTTCCAGAGTGAGAAAGTGAGGCTCAGTTTAAATACCTTGTTCCGGTCACATCCAGGAAAGCAGCGCAGACTTCTGGTTCCTGGCCTTGCTTGTACTTCTGGGTAGTTGTAGGGTTTTGCCTAACGTTGTTCCTTGATTGTACCTATTAGTTGTAATGAATTACAAGGCATCAAATTAGTGAATGGCTGCACATGTGTGTGCCTGTGTGCTCATGGCTAATTCTGTTTGTTTCTGTATTGTTGAGCTTTTTTTTTTGGAAGGAGGGAATAGAATGTTGCATGTAATCTAGTCGGAGAGTGTCCCTTGTCTAGTCTGTCAGTCACAGAAGTGATGCTTAACAACACTGTCTCTCCCCAGCTTCTCTGTGTCCTTCTGCTCTCTATGAATTAGAGGTGATGACCACCATAGATACAATGCAGGAAAGGGGATTGTGAGTTCCCTTTAGCCAAAGTCAAGTCATGGACCCACCACATGAAGGCTTGCTGGAGTAGCCTTTGGAATGTTTTGGTGTTAAGTCTCAGAGGATCTGTTCTTGTGCCTGGTCACAGTTCATAAGGACTTGCCCAGGACCAAGAGCTGTTAGGAAGCAGGAATGAATCTTTGGGCAGGCCTCTTCAAAATCCTAACTACATGGGAAGAAGAATGGAGGGAGGCCAAAAGCTTTGGGAATGTAGGAAAGCAGCCATGATTAGCCAGGATCAGGGGCTGTTTCTTGGTCCTTTTTATGACTTGGGTGGTGTTCCTGTTTCACAAATGTTCAGGTATGAATGTGAGGGGTTTTGCTTTTTTGGTCATGATCAAAAAGTGGCCTTGCCTAGTGGCTACTTGGATTGTTTATGTTCACACAAAAGGGACCAGGGCTTAGGTGTGGATGTCAGACTGCCTGGTAGCCACCCCAGGGCCTGACAGAGCCAGACCAATTGTGCTATCTGAGACCTATTCCTTTTTCTTGAGATCCAGAGGGCCTGGTCCTTGAATTAGCAATTCTTCATACCTGTGATTAACTGGCATTGTGTACTTGCTGTGAACCGGGCACTGGGGTAGATGATGTAGGGTTCCAGATACCCTATGTTATGGCTTCAGTCTTCAGGTTTCCTTGGGACCACAACAATTTCTTGTGCCCTCAGATGCCTCACTGCTTATTTCCTGTCACTCCGCAGCTGATGCAACCAGATTTAGGATTGCATCAGCCTGCACCCTACTAACCCAGTAATCAGATGTTTTGATAGGTACAGTGTTATTGTGTTTTTTTAGTAACTGGGTTGAATCACAGGATTGCAAAACACTCCACTATAGCTTAGCAATGGGCTGGACACTGGGCCTCAGCAGGTAAACATGCAGCCATGCTTTAGAGATGAAACAATGCTTAGCTGGGCTTAGGTGGCGGCATACGTCAGGGATGGAAGGAGAGGTGTTCCTGGTAAAGGTGACTCCATTGTTTCCTTTACAGTGTACTACGCAGTTTGAAGAATACAATACATTCAGGTTGAAACCCTCTCATGTTGAGTTTGACTTAGCAGCAAGAAGGGAAAGGATGTAGCTACCTCAGGGAATTGAATTCCTAGCTGGTGACATCTCTTGTCAGGCTCAGTTTAGTGACTCACAAACGTCCTCTGAAGACAGAGCTACATTCTGAGGTGATGGTTTGGCATCTTCATGTGAGTTTCAAAGAGGCCAGTGTGTTAATGCTCATTTTGGTCTTAGTGGAGAGCGAGGCCAGCCTCCTGTCACTGATGAGACCCCAAGTTCCTAAGATTTTATCCCTGTATTTCGTTGTAGATGGGCCCATATTCCTCGGTGCTGAGGATGCGCCCTCCCTCCCTTGTCTTTGCAAACCTGTAAGGGACGTTCACAGGGCAAGCTCCTACAGGGAGCAGGGCTCCAAATCAATGACATCACCCGTGGAAATGTCAGTCACATGATTTAAGATGTTCTAGTCACCACATTAAGAGGGGTGAAACCAATTTCAAAATAGTTAATTCTTTTTTTGTTTTGTTTTTGTTTTTGTTTTTGTTTTTCGAGACAGGGTTTCTCTGTGTAGCTCTGGCTTTTCTGGAACTCACTCTGTAGACCAGGCCGGCCTCGAACTCAGAAATCTGCCTGCCTCTGCCTCCCAAGTGCTGGGACTAAAGGCGTGCGCCATCACTGCCCAGCCAAAATAGTTAATTCTAAGATACTATTTTAACAACAGTATCTTACATTCTTTTTTTAGTTACATGTTCAAATATGTATATGTGTATTTTGCTTTGGATTTTATCCTGGAATGGCCACATTCCAAGGGCTTACTAGCCACATGGTGACAGGCTATAGTACTGGAGAGTAGAGATCTGTAATGCCACATAGAGCTTGCCATGGCCACTGACTCCTCTGGAGGCTTGCATAGGTCTTCTCTGAGTTGAGTAAGCTCAGGGTTCCCCTGTGGCCTTACTGTGTTTCTGGCAGACAGAGGAGACCTGGCAAAGAGATGACACACACCTTCATCTGAGTGAGAAGGCTTCATTCTTTCAGCTTCTAAGTCAGCGATCGCTGTGGTTGGGAGCTCTAGTTTTTCTCACGCAGAAGTTTTGATGAAGACACTTAGCTAAGTTTGAGTCCCATTTCTTTCCTTCTCCTCTAGCTTTTGAGCCAGTTATTTTCACCCGAAATACCCTTCTAGGGTCATTTGAGGGTTGACTGAGCTGCACAGAGAGCGTAGAGCAGTTAGTGACACAGAGTTCTGAGTGACTGTTGGTAGCTACTAAACCATTTAATCCTGAGTGCCTGGGACTGGGGATTAAGAGCATGGCTGTGTACAAGGTTGGACAGTGGAAGAGGAAACTTTGAGCTGAGTTATACCTGGTGGTCCACTGCTGTCTGCTTAAAAATTACTATTTATTAATGCCTTTGTGTGTGGGCGTGCACACGAGCATGTGGATATCTGAGGAGCCAAGAGAATGTTAGATTCTGGGGCTGGGTTTACAGCAGCTGTGAGCTACTGGATGTCGGTGCTGGGAGCCAAAATAGTCCTTTAAAAGAGCAGAAAGTGCTTTTAACTATGTAGCCAGGTCTTCCTCCTCCTTCTCCTCCTCCTCCTCCTCCTCCTCCTCCTCCTCCTCCTCCTCCTCTTCCTCTTCTTCTTCCTCCTGCTTCTCCTCTTCTTCTCCTCCTCCTCCTCCTCCTCCATCATCATCATCATCATCATCATCATCATCATCATCCCCTTCCCTTCCTCCATTGCTTAGAGGCTATTAGCTGTGTTTTTGTATCACTTTTTTGGTGTTAGATATTAAGGATTCCACCCAGGGACTTGGGCATACCAGATAAGTGTTCTGTCACTGAGCTCTGAATCTCTGTTTTTGGAAAAAAGAAAGACTATAGCTTTAGTGAGATATATCCTACACTATATAATTCACCTATTTAAGCTATGCAGTTCAGTAAGTTTGAAAAATATTCACTTTGTCAACCATCACCATAGTTAATAACAGTATTTTCATTATTCCTAAGAGACCCTGTGCCGAGTAGTGGTTTCTCCCCACTTTCCCTCAGTTCCTTGCCCTTCACTCAAGTTCTAGGCAGCGTGAATTCACCTGCCTACAGACCTGACTCCTCTGGACGTTTCACAGAACTGTGATACTGTACAGAACTGCATACGATAGTCAATAGCCTCTTGTAGAATGTTGGTTTTATTTAACATATTTTTATTTTTTCAACCAAAATGTATTTTATTCTAGACTCCTTTTATATCTGATTCATATTATAGCTGTTACAGTGATACAGTGCAAAGGGAAGTCTGCAACAGCACATGCAAACGTACCTGAGAAGGGTTAAAGGGTTATGGGGACAAATCACTCTTGATGTGGATCCAAAATACGTCATAAATGTCATTGGTGTGGTCCAAGAGAGGTAGCCATGTTAGCAGACTTCCTTAAGTAACCGTCATGCAAACCGAATGTTCTTTAACATGTATAGAAAACGGTCACAGGGCTTAAAATTAAGAGCTTAAAGTTAACTGGGAAATAAAGGAAAGGATGCAGATGTCGTCACCCAGGGCTCAGGTGAGCGTACAGAATAAGACCCAAAGGGTCTGCCAAACCCACATGAGATGTTATATACAGATAGCTCCAGTGAGAGTCAGGAGAGAAAACCACTCCTGTAAGGATGGGAGAGATACACAGTGAATTCTTCCTGCTTGTCATGACATGGAAAAGCATACCAGACTAGACACAACATGCAGAGCAGTTCCTTGAACACCAGAAATTCCAAAGAGAGCAAAACAGCTTGCTAGGAAAAATTCTGCCTAGTTATTCATCCTGCTTCAACACTATCATGGAAGGGCAGAAAGGGGTGCCCGAGGACTGTCCGTAGAAGACGTGGGATTCTACGTGATTGGATTAAAAGCATGAACACTCCCTCTTTTCTCTCTCTTCCATATTTGACTAGAAGTGTGCATTAAAAATTAGTATTAAATGTGACGTTTCAGAGCTATTGCTGTAAGGAGAAAGTCATATCTTCCCAATGCTGATTTCAGAGAAGATGTGTGTCAGGGCAAGCAGGAAACCATCACCAGGGTCTCTGTAGCTGGCTGCTAGTCCCCAGCTGCTGGCTTTTGCAGGATGTTGGTCAGAGGAGGTGAGATTTATGCAACTGTGCAAGCACCACTCTTACCTCCTGAGAATCCAGCTTCTGTGAATCTGTATGATAATGCTTACAAAAATAAAAGTGGTCCTTACAAGAGCAAGACAGCACTATCTGAAATGGTTTTCCTGTGTATCTAATAAAACATGTCAGGTCTGCTTCCAGGAACCTTGTCTTCTGTGATTCCTTTAAATAGCAAAATGTCCAGTCCATGTTTTGGCATGGATCATCAGTACTGAATTTTTTGTTGTTGGGTAATATTCTCTTTTATGTATATATTTTTTACATAAATTGTTAGAACTATTTGTTTTTATTTTTTTCCTACTTTTGGATATTGTGAATACAGGAGCCCTAGGGACCTGCTTGTACAGGTTCTCTGTGGTCATATTTTTTGCTGTCTTTGGCATAGTTGTGTACATATATAATGTATGTTATATATAAATTTACACTATTGAAATTCTCCTTCCTTCCTCATTTTTTAAAAATCTGTGGTTGCCCTGAGTAGGTAGGCAGGCAGTGCATGGTTCAGGGAGGGAGTCCTAGTTTATTCTAACTTTCTCCTTTCAAAGCACGGAATGCTGGGTAGTCAGAGAGATGCTCTGCTGCTAGGAATGCTGGGTAGTCAGAGATGCTCTGCTGCTAGGGACTTTTCTTTTGTGTGACTCTTTTCTCCAGGGGCATCACATGGTGTCACTAGTTACTTTGACGACAGGAACTTTGGACTGTCTTGTTGTTTTAGTGTTAGAACGCCAGCTTCAGTTTAGGGATTTCCTTGCTATGGGCACGCCCTCAAGGAAGGACAAGCTCTCCTCTCTCCACTGAAGCTGAAATATCTCCCCTCCCTGCTTCCTCGTAGTGCCAGGGTCTGTCCAGCTGCTCCTGCCCAGGGCTTGAATCCTGGGAGGATCTCCGCTCTACCGTGATGCTCCAGGGCATGCCAAGCTTAGTAGCTTAGAACACTTCCATTTGCTCACAGTCCTACAAATGCAGCAGGGCTGGGGCCTGTGGTTTTAACTCGAGCAAGTTGAATTAATACTGGACTGTGGAAGTTCCTGGGCCTCCTGCTCTCCATGGGCCATCTTGGGCTTCCTCACATCATGGAGCAGATGGACTCAAAGGAGTTAGCTTTCTAGCGTTGTGACAAATTACCTGAGATAACACAGGAGAAAAGGATTGTTTTGGCCAGAGGGTTCTGTTCTTTGTCATTTGTCCCTGGGCTGTTTTGGGACCTGTGGTAAAACATCCTGACAGGAACACAAGACTGAGGAAGCTGTTCACTTCATGGAGGCCAGGAAGTGGAGAGCAGAGAGGGCTGGGGTCCCAGGATTCCCTTCAAGGGCATGTCCCACTAGGCTTGACTTCCCACAGGTTCTCCCATCTCCCGACAGTACCACAGGCTAGTGTCAAATCTTCAACACATTGGCCTTTGGGGAATACTTAACGGATCCATAGCAGGAAAGTTCTTATGGAAGCCACAGGTCTTTCTCAAAGTACACAGCATCACACCTACTTCTGTATTCTTCACAGGTAAAGGAGCTGGAGAAATAGACTCTACCCATCCATTAATGCTTTTCCCTGTTGACATAGGGAATGACAAAGACATAAGGATGGTTACTGTGCATTTGACTGGTGTCAGGGGCAGGGATGCAGTCACCCCATTCAGGGCAGCACAGTCTGCAGTGGCAGGTTTTAAAGGTGCTTTAGAGCGGGAACCTGGCTGTTTGCCAATTGCCAGGCTCTGTTGATTCTGCCTAATTTTTGAACTGAATTTTCTAGCACTATGCTTTTAACAATTCCCTTCTGTTTAATGTCACCACAGCCAGTGTCTGTGCACCTAAGGATTTGATGATACCTTAACCTCTAAGAGAGCCAGTGAGAACTCTTTAGTAGGAGGCAGGATAGTTTACCAAAGAGGAAACACCTGAAAAAAATGTTCTGCATCGCTACCATCGAAGACAAAACACCTAAATTAAACAGCAGTAGCAGGGTGGGTGCCCTTCTTAAGGTCTCAGCATCAGTAATCTAAACAGAGCTGTGGAGGAGAAGATGGAGAGACAGGTTTTCCCAGCTTGCCAGTGGGGTTGTAAACTCTTCTAACCTTTCTTACTGGAGATTTTTGGCAATATGTACCAAGAGACATAAATTGACCCATCCATTTTTAGCTACTTGTAGGACGCAGCCTGCACAAGTGCACTGAAAGGGTGGATATTATTTTAGGTATGAAGATGTTTGTACCAACGTTACATTTTTAGCAAATATGGAAACCTAAATGATATGAGTTATTATTCAGTCTTTTAAGATGGAGTTTGTTCACTGGGGTTGTATCTCAGTTGGAGAGTGTTTCCAGATTTAATCTCCAGCACCACTTGATCTCCAGGATGGTGACACAGGTCTGTAATTCCAGTACTCAGGAGGTAGAGGCAGGAGGATCAGAAGTTTAAGGTCACCTTTGGACATCCTGGGCTGCATCAGACCTTGTCTCAAACAAAATATAACAACAGCAAACCAAAACAATACCACAACAAAAGAATCTGTAAAGAACTATATTTGACAACTCGTATGAAATAATTTTAAATAAATATACAGATTGGCCTTGTCATGATTAGTAAAGTAAACTACTCTGGGTATTTCAAACAATGTCATTGTGTCACCTACTTTGTAGGTGACAAAGAGCAGAGAACCCATCATTCAGCTGAAGGGTTCCAGAGCTGAGCAATGTCAGGATGACAAGAGGTCTTATGGCCTAGAAATGAACCACTTGGTGGGCGCAAGAGTCATGGCTACTGGAAAATTCCTTCCCCAGGCAGAGGAGGTGAGCAAATAGCCTGCTTGACCAGTGCCTCCTGTGGCCCAGTCTAGTGGAATAGAGGGAAGCTTGTTTGACAGTGGCCAGGGGCAGGGAATGAAACCGGAAGTGGATGAAAAATGACTACTGCATAGCATGATCTCAACTATGCAAGAATGATACATATCAAATGATGTTAAAAATAGTTGTCTTTGCTGATGGATTGATAGCTACCTCTTATTTTCCCTTTTTTTCTTTAAAGAAAGAGGTCAGGAATTACAGATGTAAACATCACCGAAAGAATACAAGAGATAGAAGAAAGAATCTCAGGTGTAGAAGATACCTTAGAAGATGTTGACACTACTGTCAAAGAAAATTCAAAACATAAAAAATTCCTAATACGAAACATCCAGGAAATCTAGGACAAAATGGAGACATTTTAGATAGTCTCTCTCACCTGAGATACTCAGTGGCCTCAGAACTTGGTGTCACCAAAGGCAGTGGTCAGGAGGGGGCGCTCCAGACCAGCACGTCAAAGCCTCCAAGACAAGGTGAGGCTGGGATTTCTGTGACCATTGCCGAGTGGGATCCTTGGGAGACATGGCCTTACCAGTCCCTGTCCCTAAAGCCATATTATCTCCGCTTCCATTTCAACAGTCCTTCCTCTTGGGGAAAGTTATTGTCATGGTTCCTCAAAAAGCTAAACTGAATACCACCGGAACTCATGGTTTCCTCCTGGTCCTGTTGGAGTGTTTGGCACATGTTCACTGATTGATCAGAGAGCCTCACTCTACTGCTTATGCGTGGCCTAAAGGAACTTGTACTGAGGTGCATAAAAATCCTAGTGCTGGATAATATATGTCCCATAAAACCCACTGTGGTATTCCCCTAGTAAATCCCTTAGGCCTCTCAGTATGTTGCATTTCTAATGTTTCTCCACCATCTGACTCTGTCTGGGACAAGAGCCCAGGGACCAGTTAACTAGCAAAACTATGTGTAGCTGTTTATGAAGTGACCAGGACATCTAGCACGGAAGATGGGTTCTTTTGAGTGTTTGCTACATGAGCTCACTGCCAAGTCCTTAGCTTTGTTCACTTAAGTGCACGAAGCCACCCATAGCTGACTGTGCTGGCTGGGTTGGGGTGCAATTCTGCCAGTCTGAAGCCCTTGCCCCTACAAGTCCTTCAGGCAAATGGTTTTCCCATGGACATCTACTGACAGGTTATCACGGGTCAGAGGAGGTGGTTTTAGGGAATATGAAAGTTTTCTTGGGAGAAAATGGGTCAAACTCAAATACTGTGCATTTTAAAGCCACACCAGGGCTCAAATCTGAGCTCAACTGTAACCCTAGGGAGGGTCACCCTGGGCTGCCACTAAGTCCTCACAGTGAGTGCTGCTAACCGGCTGCCCATGCAGAAACTGAGTAGACAGCAGTGTCCTGAACTCCCCTCACCCAGGCTGTGTACCCTTCACAGGCTGGTCTCTTTGTGTGTGTGGTTGGTGTGGGAGGAATTGTTGGAAAGTTCAAGGGAAACTGAAGAATAATCTTAGGCCACTTTTCATAGCTTGGCTTTCCCAAGTACTCTCTCACCCGTATTCCCCATTAGAGAGAGTCTGCCTTAATTTCTGTGGTTTCCCCTAATAACTATTTCTGCTGTTTGTTGTAGTGTTAAACTTCTGTTTTAGAGAATGAATTGAAACCACATACAGGAAAATACTGTTTTTTTTTTCTGAAATACAAAAAGTGTGTGTAATCAAAACAGAATTTCAAATAACATTTGGTTAGGAAGCATGAAAAGATGCTTCCTAAGGATAGAGAGGGGCTAACAGTACAGCTGAGATAGTCTCTCTTCCTCTCAATTCCAAGGGTCTACATTTGACCCATAACAAAAACAAATAAACAAATGAAAACATCAATAAAAAACAAAAAAAAAAAAACTCAAACTAAACCAAAATAAAGGCGTGCCTATATTGGTTAAAAAGAAGCCTGGGCTTATTAGGTATGAAGACTGCTTCTAAATAACTTTTATCCCTGGCTGACACTGTTGGCAGAGGCTGGCCCTGGGAATTCTTGGGATTTTCCAGAATTGGGTTTTGCATTCTCTATGCTAATGCCCAAACATCAATTCCTAAGAACAAAATTCTTGTTTTATTTTAAAATACATTCTCACTGGTTTTACATACAATAAAACTCATGGGATGCATGTTTATTCTTAAAACATGTTGCTGTATGGTATTCATGCATATAAAGTTCCATGTTTATGTTTAAAAGTTTCAATAAGGGAATTTTTTTTCTGAGTAATCTTGGTTGTGTTTCTGATTGCATGTATACAACATTCAATGATTATAAATTGCATCCATGGGCAGTCTTTTATAGGCATCCCACAAGATCACTTCTAGTCCCCAGTTTGTATCTAAGTGTAAATAACGGCAATGGAGAAATTATCCGAAACAGTTACTTAAACACAGGGTTGCTTTCTAGAATACACTTTTTTTTCCTGAATAATTTTCTGTATTTAAAATAATTATCTCTTTTATAGTTGTAATTTTACCAGTAAGGATAATTCTAAATGAATTCCAAAAGTTATTCTTGTTGTTGTGTTTTTGAGACAGGGTCTTGCTCTGTAGACAAGACTCCTGATTCTGGAGCTCTGATGGTGATAATTTTAAGAGAGACTTTTTGCTGTTTGAAGACAGCTCTCACAGCCACTTTTTAAAACCCCAGTTACTCCTCAGACACACTGATTCTTAGTTTTGATCTGGGCTTTAAGAAGTTTTCCATTAGAGCTAAAAATGCTTCATTAAAAGTGTCTTAGCCTGGGGAACGGGGTAGTAGAGAGGATTAGTTTCCATGGATACTCATTGTATTGCTAGAATATTTTGCTCCAAAAATTAAACTAAGAAGTTTCCAGCAGTCAAATCAGTAAAAAGAACATGCATTCATCTATAGTTTCTTTTCTTTAACATATTCAGGAATTACTCAAGTATGCAAGTAGACACATATATGTGGGAGAGAATTGGCTTATAATTAAAACATGCACCTACCCCAGATATACCCTCACTAATTTATTCTAGATTGCTGTGTCAGCATAGCACATTCTCACTATGGCGTGACCTGTTTTTATAGTGTACACATGGCTTGACAACAAGGGCTAGTTGGTAATTCTGTTTGCTTTAGGCAGAGATTTTACCTTTCAGGTCATTTAATCCCAGCTGTTAGCCTGTGTGTTTGGTTAAGTAGCAGCTTTCTACTTCAGGGCCTGGAGCAGGCTGTCCATGCTAAGAGATGATCCCCAGAGAGACTGGCACAGGAGGGATTGGCTTCATCTCTGTTAGAAAACAAGGGAGATGCTGATGTTATGCTTCCACTGTGATTGGTGGCAAGTTGTTCTACTTCTTCTAGTTATTGGATACTCCTTGTTATAAACAGTATTCAGCATCAATAAATTATTAGTGTATATTAATTGTATGAAATAACTTTCATTATAAAATTTTTATACATGTGTGTAACAAGGTTGGATCATAGTCACTGGTTTCTTGTCCTTGTTTTCTTCTTTACCCTCCCACTGTCCCTTTTCTCTTCCAAAATGGTTCTCTTTCTACATTCATGTCTTAAAAAAAAAATCTAGCTTCCACATATGAGACAAAATGTGCTATTTGCCCTAAGATGGCTTATGTTGTTTAACATAATGATTTCCAGTTTCACCCATTTTCGTAGAAATAACACAATTTAGCTCTTTATGGCCCTGTAAAATTCTACTGGAGGGGCTGGTAAGATGGCTCACTGGGTTACAGTGCTGGTCACCAAGCCTGATGACCTGCACTGCATCCTGGGACCTATGTAATAGAAGGAGAGAATCAAGTTATGCTCTGACCTCCACAGAGAACACACACACACACACACACACACACACACACACACACACACACACACACACCACAGCCCTCTCACACAATGTAATGAAAAAATTATTGGATATATATGGCATATTTTGTTGTCCATTCATCTATTGATGGGTATCTAATCTGATCCATAGCTTGACCACTATGAACACTGATGCAATAAACAAGCATTTTGAAGGAAGACACTCTACCACTTGCTTTTATGCAACATATGCTCAACATTTTGTCTGAGTGCTGTTTCTAATCCTTATTTCTAAACACATGTGTTTTATGCAAGGCTGATTGTAATAGAATTCAGCGCTGTACGTATCTCATGAGTATGTAGCTGTCCATGTTGCTATATAGGCCTTGGAAGTTTCTTTTCACATGATAGCAAATTAGTTCATCGAGATAATTTTCCATATTTTCTTGCCCATTTCTCCTCTTGTTTGTCACTTAGCATCCTACTGATGTTTGCTATTTTATTTTATTATTGTTACTTTTGTAATGTTGGGGATTGGACCTGGAGTCCGGGGCATGTCAGACAAGAGTTCAACCATGAAGCCACATCCCCTGATTTTTAATATTCAGTCTTTAGTTTTCTTGAACTTACTGAGTTCAAGGGGATGGAACTTTAGTAGCTTTTGGTATGTGTCAACTAAATTTCCTTTCAAAAGATTATGCTGATTTATAGCACCAATTAAATGTTTCATAAGTTATTTTCCAGCCATGTGAAGATTATTTTGCAGTTTATTTTTACACATCTGTATTTCAAAAAAAAAAAAAAAGAGCTTGGAGGTGAAGTAGGACCTGGAGGAATTTGCATGTGTGTTGATGTTTACTGCAAACGCTGAGTTCCAGGTACTGAATGCTACAGATGTTCTCTTACCGAGAATTGCAAAAAAGACCAATTTAGCTCCAGGCCCCATGTATGGACCTAGTTCCTACTTGAAAGTGTGATTCTGTAAGGCTTCTTTTCCATCTGTGAAGTAGATACTTTGACTTTCTGTTTCTGTGATTGCAGGTGTCTATACAGAAATACAGAAAGAAGGAACCCAGGGAAGCCATTCCTGTTGCGCTAATTACAGAGGTCTAAGTAAACAGAGATTCAACATGGAGTCTGTAAGGAGAGCAGACAGTAGTCTATCATGCACACACCATGGTGGAAAGGTCCACCATGTTGCTTCTCATGAAATGAATCTTCACCATCACTGTGAACCTTTTTCAGAAGGTTGTATACATTTTAATAGATTGCAAAGAGCTGTTTTTTTTTTTTGTGACCATCACTTGATGTGCAAAATGTAGGGATGTTCTTTTAGATGAAGAACATGACCTAGTATCACACTGGGGAGGAACCAGAATCAGGTATAGGTGTTCCAAATACAGCTTTTTTTTTTTTTAAGTTTAACTTCCACCACTTAACTATTTTAAAATCTAAGTGCCCATATCAGCTTCCACAGTACAAAGAAAAATGGACCATTTACTTTGGCAATTTTATCTGATTGTTGACACTCAAACCAGACTACTGGGGCATTTCTAGACTTATGAGTATTTCCTAACAATTGCTTTATTTAAATCATCAGGACCATCACCTATTCTTGTTCTAGAGATGTCTGGGAATTTAGGTGTGATTTGGCTCAGATGTTCTTCACAGTCTGTGCGGGCCAAGTACACTGAGGAGTCATGGGTCAAACTACATCATGGACCCTGGCTGATTGCCATTTTAGTTCCCTTTTGTCAGTTCTCTTTCTTAGAGATGTATTCCTCTAAGCGAGTTTTCATTTGGTAAAACTTAAAAAAAAATCATCTTCTAAGGCGATACTGCATGGCCCCTTTTCATGTTAAAGTGGTTGTTCCCATATTATCATGCTCAAAGAAAGACTCATGACAACTCTTCACATTGCCATGCAGAGACAACAGCTTGTTAAACGTGGAGAGATCTTCACAGTCACCCAATCCAATCAGTTCCCCCGTGTTACAGACAGGGAAAGTTGCTCAAAATGGGGGAACAAAGTAGAGTCAACCAGGGGCTCCAGTCTTTCTTTATGACAGCACTGTGGCCACTTGATGCTTGCTATGATGCTCAGAGTGTGAGTGAAGACAGACCCAGCAAGTGTCAGTCATGACTGGGAGCTCCTTGTAATAATGGAGCCCATTGCAGTTAATAAACTCTTAAACACACAACATGTAGAAGGCTTACTTAACAGTTCACAAAATAGTCCTTATCTACCAGCTTTTTAAAAATAGTGCTCTGTTGTAATTTATGAATTGTTAAAGGAAAAGGTCATCAATGAAAGGAATATATATATATTCCTTTAGTAAGGCAACAAATGTGGAATTTTCTGAAGTTACTCAGCAAACTTATGGACATATTCTTATTTCTGCACTGTTTTTGTGATGTGTGTATACATGTGTGTGTGCAGGTGCATTTGAGTGTATGTGCATGCGCGTGTGTGTGTGTGTGTGTGTGTGTGTATGCCAGAGGACAACTTTGGGTGTTGTTCATAAAAGTGTCATTCACCTTTATGTTTTTGAGATAGGCCTTTCATGGGTTTGAAGCTCACCAAGAAAGCCAGTTTGGCTTGCTAGTGAGTCCCAGGAATCTAGCCTTTCCAATCTTGGGATTACAAGCGTGTGTCACTGTTTCTGGCTATTTTTACATGGGATCTGAGATGAATGTACATGGCAAACACTCTTCTTATTGAGCTTTAATCCAAGCTCTGGACTGAGATGAAAAACAATTATGGGTATATGTGGGTATATGTTTGTATATTTATGCCACATGTGTTTGGATTCCTGTAGAGGCCCCAAGAGGGAGTCAGATCCTATAGAAAGTTACAAGTGATTGTGAGCCACCAGATGTGGATTCTGGAATCTTAACCTGGATCCTTGGCAGGAGCAGCAAGTGCTTTCAGGCTCTGAGGCACCCTCTGGCCCTGGGATTGACATTTTTTTATTTCATCTTTTTTTATGTGGGGTGCTGGGGATTTGAACTCAGGTCCTCATAAGCATGAGGACTTGCCTAGCAAGTGCTTTACTCACTGAGTCCTCTCCCCAGCCTTTTGAGTTCTTTCTTTTTCTTTTTTTTTTTTTTTTTTTGCTAAAGAAATTGTGTTTGCAGATATTTAAAAACTGTACACAGTAAGTCTTAAATTATCAGGTTTTTATAGAGAAAGATGATCTGGCATGATTTAAGCTAATCTTTGAAAAGTTTTTCAGTCTGAATGGTAGATCCTCAGAAGAAGGAAGGTAGTACAACTTGGCTTTTGTGTCACTGGTAAGATGCTACAGTCGGGACTGTTGCTTATGTTCTGGTGTAAGGACACAGAAGAGTGGAGCCTCTAGTCTGAGCTTTGGTGTTCGTTTAGCAGGGTTTACATGTATTGATAACACTAAGAATAGAGACCTGGAAATTACTTAGTGGGTGAAGGCTTTTGCCACCAAGCCTGACACCTGAATCCAAGCCCCAGAACTCACATGGTAGAAAGAGAGAACTGATTCCTCCCAAGTAGCCCTTTTACCTTCATATGTATGCTATGGTACACTAAGGGATGTGTGTGTGTGTGTTTACATGCATGTGTGTGCATGCACACAAATGAATAATATAAAAAATAGCAAAACCATTTACCTTCCCTCGATCCTTCCCTAGGTGCTGTTGTCACTATAGTGATAATCACACCCAGAAGTGTGCTTTGTTATTATCTTAAAAAGTTACAAGTGGGGAAATTAAGTGTAGGAAATGTTAGAAGTTTGATCAAGGCCAATCAACCAGGTTGAGAAGGTGCTAGGTTCATAATCAGGTTTGCTAGCTTTACAGTGTGTCATTTTCCCACTGCAGTTTTGTTAGTATACTGAAGACATGAGATGCTTTCCTGCTTTTATTGACAAATCATTCCAAGGCCTGTTTCCTTTTCCCTTGGCTGTGGAGCAGAGAGCATAGAACCCTAGGTCCTTCACTTTTGGCCATTGGCAGTGATGTTTCCTCTTTAATTTCCCATTCGTTCTGCTTAATCAGCAAATAGGGACTACATATGAGCCAGGATAGCAACAGTTCTTCCCTCTGACTTTGCCTTGTTTTCTCCCTTGGTGTTGGGGCTCAAGCTAGAGGAGAGAAAAACTGGGAATCTTAGGGCACATGGCTCCCCATCTGGATGGCCTACGTGGCTACTCGGCTCCTTGGCTGTTGCTCATCTAGCCTGTGTCCTGCTCCTTCATGCCAGCCGGCAGTGAGAAAAGCCTGTTTTCATTTCTTCTTTTGCGAAGTCCATCTGCACTGCACAGGTGCAGGGCTGGGCTCTTAAAATAGAAACTTTGTTCTGTGTGATGTGGCACGGTGGAAACCCCCGGCTTCATTACTCATGTTCAGATTAACGAAATGGTCATCTGTCCCTTCCCTGTGGCATTTTCCTGGCTTCTATGAGACCTTTCGTTTCTCAGTTGGCTTCTCTAGTTTCTCCGTTTGTAACAGCACTTGATCTTTGTGGTGTTTAGGTCCTTCCTGCCTTTGGTTTCCTGTGCCTGTGTTTCTGATTAGGACTCTGTTTTGGAATTCTCTTCATCTTGTTTGATTCTCCCAGCCAGCCATGCTGTTCTGGCAAGGACAGCTGGGGATAACAATGGTTTTTGATATTTAAAATTTCTTGTCTCATCATTTTGACATGATGTTTAACCTGTTGTAGCCACCCTAAAATGATTAGATACACCCTAAAGCTTGATTAAAGGCTCATGTGTACATTGTTGAATTACTGAAAATAAGAGATGATTTAATTTAAAATGTGAGATGGGCCTTTCCATGACAACTGTTCTTACTTTTTTGGCTAAAACAGTACATGTTCTTCTTAGACATTATACATCTTGAGACATTATACTGTAAAGCATTGGTATTTATGAAAATTTACTAATTTCTACAACAACTCCAAGAAAAGGGTGTTATTATTAATTTGTGAGGAATACATTGAGGGTCAGGCTCTGCTAACAATACCATGTGGAAATTAAACAAGAGAAGTTATAGGCTGCTCAGCAAGTGTCTAAGTGTCAAGAACAACGATCACTCTGGGTCGAGCTGTTGGCTCTGTTTCCTCTGCTGTGAGCACCAGCTCATGGATTAACTATGAGTCTAGAAAATGTTTAAGATGATCTCAACTAAGTTAGCAATTTTATTATATGTTTGTTTGTTGTTACTGTTATGGTGATCAAGTTCAAGGCCTTGGGTATGCCAGCAAGCGCTCTACTACTGGGCTACACTTCAACCCATTATCAAACAAGCTAGCAGTGTTTTCATGAGACCAAACGAATACAGATGAAGCAATCACAGCATAGATGGTTAGGAAATGGACAATTGATAGGTTGGGTCAAACATACCCCAGGGAGAGCAGGTGGGTTCTCACAGGGATGGGAGACTGTGGAGAGCCAGCACAGCTGATCAGTCTAGGAAAAAGTCGAGACCACAGATATGAGCTGTAATGACAGAGAGACGACCACGTCAGTAAGGAATGAGAATAATGCATAGTGTTCAACGTCCAAAGTTCTAGGTAGAAACAAGTGCTCTGAGTGCACAGAGCTGAACACAAAGTTGTGATTTTGTGGCTGATCCAGTAGCTATGCATGGGGTATGCAGATACATATCAGAAAAGAACACAATGTGAGAACTGAAACGAATGGATGCTAGGGTTAGAGATTTACAGGTGGATTTAAAAGGCTTTTTCTTTAATAACTGACATAAGATACCTTTTAAAAATATTGAATAATGCCTGGGTTGACTAATCAAGTGGCCCCCACCTGAGGACTTCATCCATCTCTGGGGTAGAATGTCCTTTCTGGTTTGTGACTAAGCCTTGAATGGATGGTTTTCTTAAAGAGTGTGGGGTGTAACACATACAGAGGGTGATGGGACCCTCTCTCCTGTCTGTCTTGCTGTGGCTCTGTCTTCCCACATTCTCTCATAACCCAGTACTGAGTCTAAAGGAAGGGGAGACTCTGGAATCTCTAATGTCAGGCTTCAGGGACTTGTCCTACTGTCTCTTTGGAAAAGTGCCCAGTTCTTCTAAGAACCAATAGAAGTACAAATCCTTTCAAAAAAAGAAAGGAAAAAAGTAAAAGCCATATGGTGATTGTCAACTTACCAAGTAAACAACAGGGCAGAGGATTTACATCTTCTTTGTGTGTGTGTGTGTGTGTGTGTGTGTGTGTGTATGTGTATATGTGTGTATATATGTATGTGTGTGTGTATGTGTGTATGTATGTGTGTGTGTAAGTGTGTGTATGTGTGTATGTATGTGTGTGTGTATGTGTGTATGTATGTGTGTGTGTATGTGTGTACATGTTTTATGTGTATAATTTGTGTATTTTCATGTGAGTTCAGGCACACACTGCTTTGTGTGGAAGTCAGAGGACAACCTTGGGCACTGGTCCTCTCTTTCACTTTGTTTGAGAGAGGGTCTCTTGTTTGCCATTACTACTCCAGGCTGGTCGGCCTGTGTACTTCCTTCCAGGGATTGTTTAGTTTCTACCTCCTGTTCCTGTAAGAGTGCTGCAATTACACATGAGTCCTACTGTGTCTGGTTCTTTGTGGGGATCTGAACGCAAGTCCTTGTGCTTGCATTCATGCAAGTGCTTTAACTGCTGGGGCATCTCCCCATCTATACATCTTTCTTGGCTGATGGAGGCTTTATTCTCAAAAGAACACCTTATCAAGTTTTACACATTCTTCAGCAATGTGTAGATTCCACATAGCACTTTATACTGTAGCTAGCAATCCTTTCTATTCTGGGACTTGAACTGCGTTCTTGCTGAGGAGAGAAACCTGAGACCACACAATACAACTGTGACATTTGTGATTCAAGTCACACTAATAGCTGGAAGTTCTACCTAAGCCAACTCAGGAAAATTTGCCCAACGCAACCATACACTAATTCCATGAGTGTTAGTGCCAGTGAGTGTAGTGACCAAATTTCTGCCTGAGTTAGAAGTTAGACAGGGTGGCTGACATGCCCTGACCTTTTGGGCACTGAGGAGACACTCATCTCTCATGCTACTGGATAGCTTCTCAGGGTCTCCTGGCCTAAGTTAGGTTAAGTGTATAGAAGAAGAACAGAATGGAAAGTCCTGAGACCTGGCTTCTAATCTTATTTTAGTGTTAGCTACTAGCAAGGTGAAGTAAGTCAGACCATGGCTGTAAGTCATGCATACCTGGCCTCTAACCTTTAGACTCTTTCTCATGTCTGCAAAACAGTTTTAACTCAAGTGAAAAGTGGTCATTTAAAAAAAAATAAATCTGGAATGGTTACATATCATTTTTATGTATGTATATATTGCAGTAAATGTTGAAAAGTCCTTTAAAAGATTTATTCTTCTTATTAAATGAGGTTGTTTGAGAAATTTGTCTACACACACACACACACACACACACACACACACACCTGTTCTACTTGTGAAACTCCAGTAATTCTAAAGCAATCAGAGTGATTAAGTCATTCTTTCCCTGCCAACTTAATGAACTCTTACATGGGACCAAATTACTCGACCCCAGTGTAGACTCATTCTCTTGACACTAACAGCAAATGACCGTGTGTACTCAGAGGTGGTGAGTGTGGCCATGCTAATGGACGACGGGTGGTGCTGGCGGGATAGGACTGAATAACTCAGACTCAAGAGATGTGAGAAATGCTTGTGTCTGGCTCCAGAAGGTGGAGTCTGTTGTCCTTACAGGAAGTGTTTCTGGAGCTTCAGGCAACAATGCAGAGATATGACACAAGGACAGTAGAAAAATACACACAGAATGGATCACCCGTGCAGCAGGACTCTTCAGGAGCCAGTGACATTAATCCAGGCAATTGATTATGTGCACAGAAGGCCTGACTGCATAGGGCAGGTGTGAGAGGTGACTTCCTCTTGAGCAAGTCTCTAGACAGTTCTGCTTCTTCATCTGTGAATAGAGGGTAATAATGTCATACTCTGTCAGTCAGTGTATCCAGAAAACAAACAAACACACCCATGCTTACAGAAAAACATCCCTATGAACACGGACAAACATACTCATTTGCCATCAACAACTCATTTGCTCATCTATTTATTTATTCAACAGATGCTGGTCTGACCAAAGTGCTATGCTTTGTAAAAAGCTCCGCAACACCTATAAAATTAAGTAAGATTCAAAGTTTTAAGAATACTGGTTCTGGCTTCCAATGAGTGGTAGATAAATTATAACCTGAGGCATGGAAATCAAGAATGGCTTTCTCTAAGTCCTCTGTGGTTACAATCATTAAATGCTTTGGTGCACAGATTTTAAGGGAATAGTGTCAGTTTCTGCTTACTGTACAATAGATTCTATCCCTTCAGAGTTTGTGAAATATACTTATAAAAGTTTACTATGTAAAATTTATTATAGTTATGTACATTTTTTTTATGGTACTGGGGATTAAATTTGGGGCCTCTACATGTTAGGCAAGCACTCTTCCATGGAACTACACACACACACACACACACACACACATATATTATGTATATGCATATGTATATCATATATATGTATATGTATATATATATATATATATCAATGGAATGGCACAATGGTGCCATGGTTGTATCAAGCAGGTCAGTGAAACAAATGTTAGGAATTTGTTTAATGTCACTTAACATCTATCGCAACAAGGTATAGGACTGGAAAGAAGAAATGCTTTCCTTTTTCTTATATAATAAGAAAGGGGCTCACTGTATTTCTGTGTTAAAGAACAGTGAGGTTGAGAGTGGAGAGAGCCAGTAGGAGACCGATGAGCAGTCTGGACAAAGATCTATTTATGTTTGTATGTACTTGTGCTAGGGTGGCAGCAGTGGGGATTGTGCACTGCCATTTGTCACATATGCCTACTTTGCTTCTAGGACTTTGATACTTTATTTTTTTGATAGTTATCCTTAGAAGATCCTGTCTGTATCTTTAATAGTTATAATCCTGAAAGGATGCCTGGAATGGAGAGTAGATGTAAGTCAAAAGCAAGCATAGCAGGGCTGTGAAGCAGGGGATCTCCTAGCCTTTTGGCTGCAGTGGGTTCTATCTTTAGTACCATAATCCAGGGGAATCTTTCCATATTGGTGTGAGCTGCTTTGGTTAACAACAGTACTGGAGTCTCCAAAAGCATGTCATTTAACAATGGATCCTGGAATATGAAGTGCCTGACCAGGTGACAACCGTTGCAACACACAACCTCATTCCTAGACACACACAGCTAAGTTCTTCAGTCATTGCAAACTCCCTTTGGAGTTGGTCTCCTTTTTTTAAAAATTCATGATTTTCTCCTCTATCCTTTCCCATGTTTTGAAAAATCTTTCCCACATAGCCATTTACATTTTTTTTTCAAGACAGGGTTTCTCTGTGTAGCCCTGGCTGTCCTGGAACTCACTCTGTAGACCATGCTGGCCTTGAACTCAGAAATCCACCTGCCTCTGCCTCCCAAGTGCTGGGATTAAAGGCATGAGCCACCACTCCCTGGCGCCATTTACATTTTTAATTGGGTATATTATGAAACTAAAGCACAAACACCAATTTGTTAAATAAAATACTTCATAAATACTCTTGTCTACACCCTTGAACTATTCTTAATTGCTTCAGAAAGAAAGTAAGAGAGAGAGAAAGAAAGAAAAAAAGAAAAAAAGAAAGAAAGAAAGAAAGGAGGGAAGGAAGGAAGGAAGGAAGGAAGGAAGGAGGAAAGAAAGAAAGAAAAATTGGAGATGACGAGACACACACCTGTTATTCTAGCACTCAGGAGGCTGAGGCAGGAGGATTGTGAAATTGAGGCCAACTTGGGTAGATTGTGAAATCCTATTTCAATAAACCCAAATAAACAAAACTAAACCAGACCTCCACTACCCCACAGACATGGGTGGGGAAGAAAGAGAGGGAGAGGGAGAGGAAGAGGGAGAGGGATTGGACAACTGTAAAGGGTGTCCCATTTAATGTTTGTATGGTGAACATCATTCCAGAATTTCCTCATGTCTAAATTACTGTTTTTGGTTGATGACAAAAGAAGTTGTACACTAGGTTGTAGATCCTTAAGTCTGTGAGAGAACATTGTGGACAGAGTAGGAGTGGGTCAGAAGCCTTCCTCCTCCTCCTTCCCAGGCAGCACATGTGAGCCTTTGTGTGGAGACTGAGGCTCTTCTGGAAGTAAGGTGAGTGCTGATCTCATGTGGGTCATGCTCCAACACAACCTCCTGGTACTGGAGTACCTTCCCTACTCTTTCTCTGATTTTAATGTACAAGTCACATCTACAAGACAAAACAATTCAGGGATACCTGCAGGGGCAGAAACTTACAATCTCTTATAATTTCTGTGTCAACTATGTCCTAATTCCCCAAGGTCATATATATTTTTGGTTGTTAGTTTTTGTTTGTTATGTTTTTGTTTGTTTTTTATTCTCCTCTGTCTACAATGTTAGTTCATTCCCTTAAGAAAAACATCTCTGCATCATGAAAGGCCCAAAATATAAAATTCACCATACTCTCTGACTGTGAACTGAAGGCAAGACTAACTTGATTTGTAGGCCAATGAATGTTTGTGATATTTCAGTGTTTAGGGTCTTTTTTCTTACAAGAATTAAGAGCACACCCTCAACTCAGTGGCCTGGAGGGGGTCAGCTGTATGGCTGTAGCTTGTGAAACTCTGTGCTCATGATTAGAAAGTACATTTCCTTTTTCTTCAGTGTAAAATATTAGTCTTTTGAGAAACACATGTTGTACCTTGCAACATTTCCTTAGTTCCTTTATGGTACTGGGTGGTGTGGATGTGGGAGAGTGTGTGGATCTGACCTAGCCCCCTAGGCCTGGGGATGACATACAGGATTGGCAAACAACATCTTCACCATTTTCTCTATCTTCCCAATTGTGAGAGTTTTTTTTTTTAAATCACCATTTCATGTTAATTGGTAAATGTGTTATAGCATATTGGAAGAAATAAATATTTCAGTCTAAACTGGAGGACTCCCGAGGGATTACTGCAGGGAGATTATCTATTGGGCTCAAGATGGCACCCAAGAACCTGTTAATAAATAAATAGATTAATAATATTTGGTCCCCGGACACATTATCCGGCCAGGAGAACTGGCCATTCCTTGCTGATTCAAAGCTGCTGGAATGTGCAGGGAGGGAGATGGGGACACAAGAGGGAAGGGACATTTGTAATTGTTAATGAGGAATACATGGTGCTACATGGTAAGAACTTGGGAGGTGGAGTAGAAGGACCACTGCAAATTTAAGACTATTTTGTTCTACATAGTGAGTACCAGGTCAGCCAGGGCTATCTAGAAGGAGGCTTTGGCTCAAAAACCAAATAAACACAGCAACAGCCACAAAAATCAAACTGTCAAACAAACAGATGAATAAAAAAGACACTATAAAAGGTGTAAGCATATGTGCTATACCATATCCTATACTACGTAGATTATATGCAGTAATTTATTGCTCACAGTGACCCTGAGGTAGAGATTTGATAGGTATTGCTATATTAAAATATAGACAGAGAACTAAAGACAAATGAAGAGCAAATAAGTTTTGTAATTGATGAACTCCCACATGACCCATTCCCAGAGGGTTGAAACATTGGAGTGATCTGTGAAGATGTCCTTGGTGCCAGGTAGTTCCCAGCATGGCTAGCATTTGGCGGATGGATGAGGGTATATATTTACTTTGACCTTCAACACATGTTGCATGCCCTTTTTGCAGCTTGGTTCTGTAGAGCTGTCTATATAATTCACTCATACCCACCTACTCCACGTTGCAACTTCTGCTTGATTGTGTCCACTTTAGACTGGGAGCTCCTTGACACTGGGACTTCTTATTGTTGACTATATTATTTATAGAACAAAATCCAGAAACAGGTATGGAGACACCAATGATTGGAACGAAGTCCAGCATGGTTGTATATATCTATAACCGTGTTAAATGGTAGGATTACGGGTTTGAGACCAACCTAGGCTTCATAGTGAGATTCTGCCTCACAAACCACCCACACAATGAATAAAAGTGACTACTCACATATCCAAACACACTGGGCTTTCTTGTTGAAGGAAGATGACTTGTTTTAGCTTGAGAAGGAACCAATGAGTGGAATGAATATGAAGACAGCCATCTGCATGGATTGAAAAGGGATATAGCAAGAAGAGAATACTTCTGTTGTGGGTTGTGGGGTGCTTATTGACAACTATCCTGAAATGCTGACGTAGTCCATCCCTGTCTTTCCTAGTCTCTTAGCCTTGAGACAACTAAACTGTTTCTTGCACAACTATTTCTTGCCATTCTCAGGTACTTCCATAACCTGTCTGGGCCCCATGAAACATCTTTTCTACATGTCTTACATTGTATATGGGCCCAGTGACCATATCAGAACTCTTCAAGGACACTGATTATTTCAAACTGAGTTTTGACAGTGGAAAAACATTGGGACTGGAGACTAACCTGGGGCTTGAGATAGAAAAATATCAAACAAGATGGAGGTGGGTATCATCTTCATCCCAGTGCTGGATACAGTCTTGGCCAGGTGCTGGGTGGGGAGCAGGTGTGTGAGGCTTTGGAAACTTGAAAGGGTGTGAAGTGCACCACCCAGCCTATTGGAGGAGGATGGGAGTGAAAGCAACAGATGTGCCTAAGGTTCTGTTTTCAGTTCCTCAAAGGGTCTTCTTGATCAAAGCAGTGTGACGGTTGCTATGACAGTTGCTATATTGGTCCATGGGACACTCCCTCATTAGGTAGCATTACTTTTTTTAATCTTCTTAGGCCAGTCACCATGAAACTCAATAACCAGTCTGGGATGGGGGGATGGGTGGGGAGATATGGGTGGGTACTCTGTACTGAAATGGTGGAAGATGTTGGCTGATAATATTTTTTTCCAAACAAATCTAACATTGTTGTTGCAGAGGTCAATACATTTTTTTCATTATACATCTATACTTAGATTTTTATTGCAATTTAAAAACATACCAGGTAGAAAATACTGGCTTCAAATCTCAATTCTGCGTCTTAGTGACCAGATCCTAACATCCAATCTTCTATTAATTAAGTAATTAGTAATTATGTTTTAGACAGTTTCCCTGTGTAGCCTAAGCTGGCTTGAGCTCGAGGGCTTCTTGCCTCAGTCTTCCTAGTGATGAGATTCCAGGACTGTACAACTATGTAGAGTCTACCGTTTTATCCCCTCATCTGGTTGAATGAGCCATTTGATTTCAAAGTTTTTTTCCCAGTGAGATGTTTACAGATACTTTGCTTCTGGAGTCAGCAATCGTACACGAGAGCTAGTGAAGGAGCAACATTGTTTTTGAATTGCACGTCTTTATCAGGCCAAGTTGGACTTAATTGGTTGTATGATATTAGGCATGGCATTTATTCCCTCTAAATCTTAGCTTCCATGTCTTTAGAAATGGGATAGTACAAGTAGCTTCAGGGGCTTCCTGAAGATTCAATGGCATGAGTAGAGACACTGTATCCATTACTAGTAGCAAAGTAGAACTCTGTTGCAAGATGGCGCCTGCGCCTGCGTAGCCATCAGAGGATAGAAGGTCTGTACATGGATTTCCGATTTGGTCATCAATGTTTTACTGCTATGTCTTAGGTTGAGGACTATTTTTTGCACCTGAATCCACGGTGGAATTTAAACTTAAGTATTTATTGTATAGATGGGTGACAGACAGTGAAGACCGTTATCCATTCGAACTTACAAACCAATGTTCTTTAAAAAGTCTATATAGAGCTTACCATGTGGCAGATGTTGGAAAAGGCATGGGCCATAAAGCCCTGCCTTAAGCCTATTCTCTATTACAGTGACTCTCAACTTTTCTAATGCTGCAACCCTTTAACACAGTTCCTCCTGTTGTTATGACCCCAACCATAAAATAATTTTTGGTGTTACTAAATAACTGTAATTTTTGTACTGTTATCACACACACACACACACACACACACACACACACACACACACACACAGTAGGATATCTGATATGCAACCTGTGTGAAAGGGTAGTTTGACCCCTAAAGGGGTCAAAACCCATAGGTTGAGAACTACTGCTCTCTCTACTAGTTCTGTAATGCTCAAATATGAGAACCCCAGTGCTGGCTTTTTCACCTATGAGTTAATAACATCCCAGTGTGGGGTAAGAGAAATTAAGATGACACACAGGGGCAATGCTAGTGTCACCCTTCCCTACTTCATTATTCCCTCCTCCCTGACATTTCCCTTTTGAGTCTATGTAGAGAGCCTCATAGCTCCAGGAAGACAAAAGAGCCCATCCAGGTTTGGCAGGTGGAACCTTTTGTGAGCTACTCAGTCACACAGGAGAGTCACACACTGCACTCAATCTTGAGACAAGAGTGGAGGCAGATGTAAGGACAGAAAGGGTAAAAGCAAGGAGTGAGAAGCAGGCAGAAGCTGGGAAGAAGAATGAGGACGTGCTGTGTCAGCACACAGTGGAAAAGAAGCACTAGAATGGGAAAGGGGTAGGGATGGGTAAAGTGTGGGAGAAATGGGAGAAACAGGAATGCGAGGACTATGTGTGAGTATCTGTAAGGGATCTTTCAGGGAGGAAGACATCAAGAGGAGCCAAGGGAAGGCACATAGCAGGTGGCAAGGGCATTCTCTAGCAAGATCTCTCTCCTTCCCCACCCATACTCTCTTCTCTTAGCTTCATCCTGCCTACAACCTTGAGTGGCTTACCCCAATCTACAGGATCTTCTCAAACATCTGAAGCTATGACATCTAAGGAATACATGTTTACTGATGTCATGAACAATTCCCAACATGGGACCTCTCTGCAGCTATGTCTGGCACACTCTCTTCTCTCTTTCTGTCATGGTGAGCAGTCTGTGTCTGTTCAAGGGTGACACTGTGTTTACTTACTGTCTCACCTATCTGGGGACAATGCTCTAGAATGTTCTCCTTTTGTAACTGTGATATGTTTTCCATCTCTGCTGGGTCCTTCTCATCAACATTAGCAATACTGTCATTTCTCTGAATTTCACATATATACTCTGCAGATACCCCCTTTCTCTCTATTACTCTACTTACTGCCTCATTTCTCTCCCTCCATCTTCCACTTCTTCCCATGAAATAGGCTCCCTTGCATTCTGTGTCCAACACGTTTCCTCTCATTTCCTCTTGAATCCTTTCTGATCACATTTTTGCTTCGCTTTCTATGGAACTTTTCTCACTTAATTCAATGATGATCCTCACTCTGGTGAGTCTGTCAGCCCACTTCCACTCCTATCATCGCCCTCCAAAACAATTGAAGCGTTTGTCCTCTTTGTAACATATCACCTGGACTATACTGGATTCTAGCATATTGTCATCCTCCTAGTGTTCCCGATCACCTGGAGAATCCTTTCAGTTTTTTTTTTTTCTGGTCACTCTGCCAGCTTGCTAATGCTGGAGTGCCTCCTAGATCAGGTCTTAGATGTCTCTAGTCATGCTGCCTAGTTGATCAGGGTGGCATCTCTCTTTCCAGGATTCCTGCCCCACCCCCTTTTGTCCTGATTCTGGAGGTAGTATCCTCTATCCTGCTGTCCTCCTGATGTCTCTGCTTGGTTATGCAACACTTGTCTTAGAATCAATATGTTTGAGAAAGGTCTCCTAAGGCCCCAGCAATCAAGACACTGTCTTCTAGCATAAGGACAGTCAATCAGATCAATGGAATAAAATAAAAAAGCTTAGGTTTAGACTCGACTTAGATGATAGTTAGATTTTCACAAAATATTCCAAATCAGTCTAATGGAAGAAGGAAGTCTTTTTAAGCAAAGAGTATTGGAGTAGGTACATATCCATATGGAAAAGAGGGAACCCTGAGCCTTACTTTACAGTATGAACAAAATTAATTCTAGTGAGTGCTGGCCTTTTCTTTCAGACCTAAGCCTTATGTTGGCATCGTATTTCTAGCTAAAACAACTGGGTCTTTCTAATTATAAGTTGAAGACTCTCAATTCACCCTTGAGTCTCACAGCTCCCCTGGTAGTGTGTCCCATCAGGCTGAGTTTCTGAGTAGCACCATGTCTTGCTTGGACCCTTGTCCACATCTGTTCTTGAGGATTTATCCTCAGTGTATCTAGAGGAAGCCAGATAATATATATCAGGTGGAATTCATTCTTTTTTTTTTCAGTATTCTCTCTGTCACAAAGCTTTATTCTTAGCACCTCCATTTCTTAAATTCAAAACTACCAACCTTCACTTGTTTGAGTGAATTAATACTTTCTATGATTCTAGGGGATCTGTTGACCTGCATTTCATCCCTGTAGTCCTGAGCTGTGTACACATCAGGCAAAGGTTCACCTTAGGTGTTTCCATTGCTACTCATTAACATCTGAGATAGCAGCTGGTATATTTGGGGCATTATGTAGACATTTGCTGAATGAAATAACTAAAATTCAGGTAATTATGTTATCAATTCTCTCACTTTGTCTTATCTTATTGTATTTTATAGGACTGATTCAATACCCCTGATTATGGCTTGACTGTTTGATGGATTATAAGAGCAAGAATGACAGGAACTGTGGATTGTTTCTCACAGTATTTTCCACTACTGGCAGTATCTGGAAGGGCACATGGGAGTGGCTTACCTTCCCCATCATACCAAATATGAGTGTCTATGAGGTCCGCCTTTATTTTGGTCTTAGTGAATTTATATTCTGGGACAGCTTTACTCTGGTCACAGTGGCAAGCAAAAGCACTGAGAATATTTTTCTTCAGAGTAATTGACTAGGATGAGATAGAGATTGAGAGTTTCCTGTGTTTAAGTGTATTCACCCCAACTCCTTCTCTAACTCCTCCCAAATCTACCCCTAATTGCTATCACCAAACTTCAGGCCCTCTTTTTATTTTTAAAACAATTCATTAACTCCAGTTTCTGCTTTCTGCATACTCCTGGTTGTGACATTAGCCACAG